GGAGCAAGGAGAGGCGGGACAGTGCAATTGATACACAAAGAAGAAACAGAACAAATCAGACGGACACTTGTCGGGACAACGAGAGCAACTGAGCCCAAGGCGAAAGAAGACGAGACGAAACGAGACAAAACAGAGGCAGACAATGTATCACGACGCAGACATCCGCTGGATTCGCCTGGCGAGAGGCGATGTCAGTTTCAGCTGCTCGTCTTGGCCGTGATTTTTTTCTTTATTCTTGCAACCGCCTCTTGTCCACTATCCCCCTCTTTCTCTTCTTTCTCGTTTCGCTCTATTTGACGCATGCACGCACTCTGGAATGCATGCACTATGCAGGAGATGGGCACAGGAAGCACCGGAGAGGATTGGGATTGGTCCCAGGTCTCTTTTGCGAGGCTCTAGACGACCACCATAGCCAACGAAACAAAACCAGGCCCAACAGAGCCTGGCCAGTTTGGCCCGTGCCTCACTTGATACGACGGTCCCGATCGACGCACTGCAGTGGTTGCGTCAGTGCAATTGGATTGGCGGTGGACCGAAACAAAACAAAACAAAAAGTACGGTGCAGATTGTAGCGATGTTCGAGACAGATTTGGACAAACGAAACGCACTGGGCAAACATGAGTCAAATGTAAGCTTGTGCAAGCTTTCGAATAGAGATGAAACGAAAACAAACAGAGATGAAGCTGGCCAGCGACCCAGAGTTGGTTAATCGGAATGATGATGGACAGAGACACTTTATGTACAGAATAAAGAAAGGCGATGATCTCCAGTATGCATGCACTAGGTTCGCGCTGAATGAGCGAGACCCCTGGCTGAAGATACAATGGACCAGGGTGAGACAAACTGATGCAATGGGGGTCAATTGAAGGGACAAGAAGATTGTGAGCAGCCGTTTTTGTGCCAACTCCTCCGCAACGTGCAAGACACGGAGGCGTTGTGAGGTATGTGCATGTCCATTTGAAAAGTGGACGGCCAACAAGAGAGTGAGAAAATGAAGATTGGAGATGGTGCCCTGACGATCCTCACGATTGGCGCCAGGGGGCGTCTCGTTTGTCTATCTCTTGGCAAGCGCGGCGAGCGCCTTCCACTTCACGCAGCCTGTCATGGCCTCTTTCCTTCCTCTTATCGATTCTTTGTACGGAGGTAGTTGCCTTCCGTATCGCTCTCTCTTCCTCCTAGCAAAACAGCACAGGTCAGAAGGACCGCTTTTGGCCAATCCCCCCTCTTTTAGCCCCTGACGTTGTGGCCAACACAGAAGTGAGGAAATGGGAAGAGCGCTCTTTCCTGTCTGTCCATTTTGTGGGCGTCCTCTACTCCGGTGTCGTACGACTGCACAAACATAGACCATTGTGCCATTGTGCCATTGTGCCATTGTGCCATTGCCGTCCTCCAACCGGCGATAGGGGCAAATGGCTGGATTCTGAGCAGCAAAGATTGACACGAGGCTATCTTTCCCTCATTCTCCGAGTCAGTCGCCGTGTGCAGGGGGTGGAGGAGGAATCAGTGGAGAAGGTTGCAAGAGGAGAGGAGCTCCTGCCATTTTGTGAGCTTACTGTGGTATGGCAGCGAGCTGGGGCCAGCATGTGCTGCTGGCGATTGACGCCAAGGCCCAGGGGGCAGAGCTGCTTCATTAAAGCAGCTGCCCTTTTGGGACTTGTCGGTCTTTTTTCCCTGGCCTCCTGGTCGCTCTTTCCTCGTGACGGCGGCAAACATGGGGGCAGCAGGAAGGCACGACTCTCCGAAACCTGGTCGTGCTTACCCCAGTTGGCCCCCGTGCTCACAGATACTCAGTAGACTGGCGAGAAAGAAGGCTCAACAAAGGTGATCTTCAGTCCGACACGGAAGGAGCTAGGCCTTCGTTTTGCAGGGGGATATTGTCTGCACCATCCTGTCCCGCACAGAGCTTTTGTTAGTGGATGGCACTATCTTGAATGACGACAGTGGCCGCACGAATGCCGCTGCTCTTTCCTCCAATCTGCAATGGCCGTCATCAATTAAGATTGAGAGCGGCAAAAAGCACTTTAACCTCCCCCACGATATTTCCTCTTTATCAGTGAACTCCTCGACATGCCCGTTTTGCCATGCAATTTTGTCTTGAGCTTCTACCCTCTAAGCCACTTTCGCTCTTGTTTGCTGTCAACTGGCTCTCTTTTTCCTGTTTGAGCAACTCTCCATCTCGGACAATTGCACATCGTGGTCTCCTTTCTTTTGCTTCTCCAATTTATTTTCCATCCCCTGCCAGCATTTGTTGAGCGTCATCTATGACTTCATCTGCGCCTGGCCTCCCTTTTCTGCTGCACTCTGACGAGGCGGGATCATTTAATTCGTACATTGCGGCTGCTCGAATTTCAGTATCTTTACAATACAGACCGCCACCTCCAGACCGACCGGTCTAGCCTCCTCGCTTCGTGAAAGAGTATGAGGGTCCTGCGTCGAGCACTATCCAGCTATCCCGTCGGCTACTCAGGAGTTGCATATCGAATAAGGCCTATGGCACATGGGGTGTCATTGGCCCGCCCCTATTTTTGACTGCTTGATTCAGACGTTTCGGAGGTTTGCTGTGATCCAAGTTCCGTGGTCCGGCAGCCTCCGCCATTATCTCGTATTCCTCCAAGCCTGTTGTCTCTACTTTTTATGTCTCGTCAATCTCTCGCCTCTTTATACAACATGACAAGATCCTGCATGCCTGCTGATCCCTCTTTGTCAGTGTCCACAGCGGCCATACTGTCAAAAAGACAGGGAAAGCAAAGCGACAGAAACTTGGACAGCTGGTGGGAAGTCGCCGTAGCGGTGAAACGAAGCTATTGCAAATGGACAAACAGAAGAGACGGGGCTGCCAACAAAATACCCAGAAACAGAACAGAGAAACAGAAAAACAGAGAGACAGACAGACGACCACCAACCGCCAGCCGACTCAGTCTCTTGGCAGAAGGCTAGGTCCACAAGTAAATATGGGAACGACAAGGGTCCGAAGAGCACAAACCAGGCTCGAGACGAAAGAAAACAAAAAGCCACAGGACGAGTGAAGCACAACCAACCACTCAGCCGCCCAGCTCTCCCCGGACGATCCGCCATTGCTTGTTTTCCAGTGATACGACCTCGATCTGGCGACTCCTTCTCCCTCTGTGTTCTTTTACATCGTACGGCCAACTGTATTTTTTTTTTTTCAGCAAGCTTTTGAAATATCGGTAACCTGTACAATTTATGAGTCCCTCCTTTCCAACTCACTTCTTTGTTCTTGGTCCCCGCCCCCTCCCTTCCGTATCCATATTTCTCACTGCATCGTAAGATACGTCGTATGCTGTGTGCCCTTGGCCCCATCGCCCAGGACCCCTTTGCTCGCGCCCTCCGCATTCCAGCCGGAGCGCCAGCGTCCATTCATTCGCTGCCACGGGCTGCTTTGCTGCTCCTCTTGTTTCTTTTTGTCTGTCTCGCCCTTTGCTGCAGGCTGCAGTTATTAACATAAGACCTCTGATTACCCACTCGACGCCTTGCAGTGCAGTGTCCCGCAGCTTTCATTGGGTTTGCGCTCGTTTCTGTTCGGTATCGTTTCTTTTGGTCTTTTTGTCATTCTTGGCCCCCCTTGTCTTTGAAACCGCCGCTTTCTGTTTTTGTTGATGGTCATCTCCACCAGTTCGTGTTCGTCATGTTGTAAGCTCCTGTGTCCGTTGACATCTAGCCTCGGAGGCCAGACAACACGCCAAGTTTTTTGTTTTCTTCTTTTTTTATTTGTGTGTGTTCGCTCGTTTCGTTTCGACGTTTCTTTTTTTTCAGTCTAGAACCCACAACACAAAACCAAGTTGGCCATGGCGGCGTTTTCAGAACAGTAGCTCCAGTAGTCTAATTCCAGTCCGATACCTTGACTGGACGACTCGTGCTTTCTTGGGGCCTAGCTCCTGCACAAGAAGAAAAGGGGGGGCACACCTTTGTTTGTGTGGCGTTCGGCTGGCTCGCGCTCTCTGTCTCTCTTATCGTTGTGTTCGACTTGAAGGCTCGTCGTCCTCCCTTCGCCGCCCACCATATTCTACTTCTTCCTCCCTGCTGGTACTATTCTCAACTCTCTCTAGCTCCTAGATGCCAGGTTCGTCGTGCAGATCGTCGTTTCTTTTCTCTGCACTTGGTCTGTTTCGGGTGTCTTTTTAGTAGCTGTTTTATTTTTAATCCACAGACAGCAACCGCAAAGCAACACAGCTGCAACAGGGCGGTACGTAGAATGTGAGATGCAGGAGAGTCGTCTCCTGCCGCAACGCCAGCGCTGCGGAGTGCAAGGCTCTAAGAGACGACCCATGCAACGAGACGAGACCACACACACGCAACGACAACGCAACTCCACCTCCCTACCACTCCACTCTGCCCCATTCCTCCTTTTGTCTCCCACTCGTCTCTTTCCTCTTTCCAGTCTTAATCCTCTCCTCCGCCTGTTCTTCTGGCTCTCCGTTTTGATTTCTGCCACAAACACCTCGTTTGTGTTTCTCTTTCCTTTTCCTTTTCCTCTGTCCGCTTTCTGCTTCCCTCTCTCCCCCTTCCTCAGTCCTCCTCCATAACCTCTGCAACCGGTTTCGACGGTTGTCTTGTGGAACAAAACATCACTCACGCACGCTCGAGCCGGAAACACAACATCGGAGCAGTAATACCCCATTGGATAACCGCCAGTTCTGCTTTTTTGTTTAGTCTGCTTTGCCTGTCTTGGTTTTTCGATTATCGTTTCCCGGGTTCTCGTTTTTTTTAAGCATCCGCTTGCATTTAATACCGTCTTTCAAGTTTCATTACCAATACCGAGCCTGAGCGTCTGGAACCCTCAGCAGCAATAATAACGACCAACGATCTTTCCTGGACCAGCGGATTTGTGCACGCAGCAAGTCTCCTTCAGTGGATGCACTTGCTCTCTACCCCATCGATCGAAAACGGCGCAACGACAGCTTCCCGACTTGCAACAGGAGCGAGACGACGGGCGACAAGGGAGGACCGGCCCCCGTTAACTCACAAACCGTCCGCCCATCATGCTGGGCAGTGCAGCTCTGCTGCCATTGATCCTATGGATAACGACGGTTCATGCCTTCTTCCCTTGGTTCCCGCCATCCGTCTGTGCCGACGACAATGAGCTTTGCAAAGCCCAGCTCTCGTCGACTGTCGTCAAAGACGCCACCGCAAACGATGCCCGCCGGTCTCTGCCGGCCAAGGCGGCTGACAGCCTGACCTTCAAGATTGGCCGGAGGGCAGCAGCACACCGCCGGGTATGTTCTGTTGCTCCGTTACTTCCTTTTGTGGAGCTGCAGAGTTTGAGCGCTTTCCTCCTTCTTTGTTTCTTCTTGTTCTCGTGCCTTCCCTTTTTGGCCGTGCATGGCCGTACCGGCACGCCTGCTAACGCTCCTTCCAGATCGAGAGACACGAGCCACTCAAGGCAAGAGTGGAGCGTGTGGCCCACCGCCTCGCCCGCAAGTACGCCCCTGCCGCGGAGCAGGCCCTCGAGGCACGCACACCAGCAACAGCAACAGCAACAACAACAACGGCATCCGACGACAATGCGGACTTTGCTGCCGTGAAGCGAGCCAACAACTTTGATGTCGTCACCGCCACCGCCCCGTCCGCCTCCAACGCCGTGGGCATCGACCAAGACGGCACCGATTTTTCGTACTTCATCAAGGCCGAGTTCGGGTCCGCCCAGACGCCCCTGTGGATGCTGCTCGACACAGGCGCCGGCACGACGTGGGTTATGGGCTCCGACTGCAAGACCCCGGCCTGCGCTTTGCACAACGAATTCGGCGCCGCCGACTCCAAGACGCTGCAGACGTCGAGCAAGACCTTTTCCATCGCCTACGGCTCCGGTACCGTGGCCGGCAACCTGGCCAGCGACACTGTCACCATCACGCCTGCTCTTAGTCTGACCATGTCCTTTGGCATCGCCAACACGACCTCGGGCGACTTTACGCACTTCCCGTTTGACGGCATCCTGGGCCTGAGTTTGAGCGAGGGCGCTACCGACAACTTTTGGAAGACGGTCCTGGCCGCCAAGACGCTGACGGCCAACGTTTTCGGTGTCGCCCTGTGGCGGGAGGTCGACGGCGGTACCAACAACGGTGAGATTATCTTTGGCGCCACCAACCCAGACAAGTACACGGGCAGCCTCTCCTATACGCCCGTGTCCTCGTCTGGCGGCGGTGACTGGGCCATTCCCATGGACGATGTGGGCTACAACGGCGGCAAGGCCGGCATCACGGGCCGCCTCGCGTACATTGACACAGGCACCACCTACGTGTTCGGCCCCGCCGACGACGTGGCCGCCCTGCACAAGCAGATCCCGGGTGCCAGCAGCTCCGACGGCGGCGTCACCTACACGGTGCCGTGCACCTCCAACCAGCCCCTGACCGTCTACTTTTCCGGTGTGGCCTACAGCATCTCCAGCAAGGACTGGATGGCGGCTGCCTCCGACAGCAGCGGCCGCTGCACGAGCAACATTTACGGTCATGCCGTCGTCGCCAATGCCTGGCTGCTGGGCGACCTCTTTATCAAGAACGTCTACGCCGTCTTCGATATTGACCAGAGCCGAATCGGCTTTGCCACCCAGGCCATCAACGCCCCCGCCTCCATGGTGGCCTCGTCGGGCAGCACCGCCTCCCAGACCGCGCCATCCCCCAGCGGCAGCGGCAGCGGCAGCAGCAGCGGCAACACCTCGGGCGGCTCGTCGTCTGGTGGTGGCAGTGCGTCGGGCGTCGCCTCGAGCGCGCCGGCCACCACTACGTCGCCGTCCGGCGGCGGCAGTGGGAACAGCGCATCGCTGCCGGGCCTGAGTGGTCACGAGACCGCCGGCACAGCGGTGGCCGAGTCGTCCGGTGCGCCTGCACCCAAGTCGACGGCTGTGACGTCGCCCGCGGATCAGCTCGAGAGCGGCGGCGTCTACGTCTCGGTCGTCTGCATTGTGGCCGCCATTGCCATGGCCGTGTAATACAAACATTCCAAATAACAACCACCCAACATCGCCCTCAACATCTCTACACCTTCTACATACATCGCATCATTCTCGGCATTCGTTTGTAAAGCGAAGATTCGATTCAGCATTTTGTTTCTTGTCAAAAAAAAGCTCCTATACACAGCATATTTTCCTGCATTTTTGCATATCCGCTGTTTACACAATATACTGCCACGTCATCCTCATTTCTTTTGGACATATTTCCTTATCTCTTTTCATTTTTAGCAGCACTCTTTCTCTCTACGGCAGGCATTCTTCGGGGCCGCCATGATTTTCCTTTTTTTAATACTTTCATTGTGTTGTTCCTCTGCTGGATTAGGACACCACCAGCAAACACTCGACGTTCTCCCTATCCGACGTCCTCGTCTCTGGAGAGGGACGAGGACGAGGATGGAGACAAAGTCACCAACTACCAATTAATAGATACCCCGGGGCAATGGTGGAGGCTTGTGGGCGAACAGATGAAATGCCGTCATAGGGACGGTGTGCGTTCAGAGAGAGCAAGAAATGGTTCTTTCGACGCTCTGCCTCGCCGTTCTTTTTCTTTTGCTTCTTTTGTTTTTCTGCCATCTCGAAAGAGTATGCAAACAAAAGGCAAGCAAAACTGTAACACTACTTTAATTAGCATTGTACCAATATACAACAAGACCCGAGTCAGCCTTCCTTCGTTTTGGGAAAGCATATTGGATTCTTTCACTTTCATTGAAACATACCCTTACTCAGAACTGTGAATGTGGCATGTGATATCTGGATTTAAAAATGTGTCCTGAAGAATGCGGTAACCGGCAGCCATGAGGGGACTATGGAATGTGCTAGTCTCACGAAAGCCATCGTCACCACAGTGAACGTTGAATCGTGAGCATTCACAAAGAAACGTGCCATGTTTTCGTCTCGTTAACAAATCCGTCCCCCAATCAGCTTTCATATTAACAGGATATCGGCTCTAGGTACGTGCAGCTGGGATAGGAAGCGGTTACGAAATATAATTCTTTTAGACTCACCGGCAGAATTCTTTATGGCCACAGCAGGGAGACTAACGAACGTGCCGTGAACAAGGGCCAACCAAAAAAGAATGAAGAAAATAGAAAAAATAATTATGCCCGCAAGAAAATACAAACATAAAAATGAAAACAAAAAAAAAAAACTCCTGGCCCCATGCGTCTTTTTATCTTCTCACATCGGTGGCTTCCGTCTGTGAGGAAACAGTGTACATGCCCCAAAGTCCAGCAAATAAGAGGTTCGCCCTGACATCCATCTTTTAGGAAAGGGGGAGGAAAAACAAAAACACAGGCAAAAAGTACACGCGCCATACAAACGAGCTTCCTATTTATAGAGTTGAGAAACGAGGTCAACACACCGCGTCCTTTTTCTGTTGTTGTGCGCGCGTCTGCCAGCGTCAGATGTTCATATTTATTATGCGGCATCAGTCTTCTCGGGCGCCCCTGCACCAAGCGACCCTGCACCAGACGGTCCCGCAGGAGACGGCCCAGCGTCAGACGCTTGCGTCCCCGACGAAATGCTGTTCGATGCCTTCGTGTCGGTCGATCGTGAGCCCGCCGGCCGCGTGTTTAGCAGTGCCGTCAACAAAGGGTCGTCCGCCGAAACGGGCGGCGCAGACGTCTCGTTGACGCTCTCTTCCAAAAATGCCTTGAACATGGTGCTGAGGGACTTGTTGGTCGGGGGCGGCCCGGACAGCGACGAGGATTCCAATTGGAACTCGGTGTTCAAGGACGGTGTGCTCGGTGTTCGCCCAAACGGAGAGGCCGGCAGCCGCAGCGAGCTGCTCGACGTACCCGGCCGCGCGAGACCGGCCCTTTCCTTTTCGTCGTCTGTCCAATGGAGCATGCCGGCAATGACCTGCAGCACCTGGAACTTCTTGGGGTCCGAGCGGTCAATCTGCAGGAATTGAAGCAAGAGGTTGGTCATCACTTGCCTAGACGTTTTGTTAGCAACAAAGAGATTGGATCAATAAAGGGGCGTACGCGTACGGAAGCAGGGTGACATACTGCTCCACGGCCTCTTCTGGCTTCATTTTTTTGATGAAGCGGAGAGCCCTGATGAGGTGTTCGTTCAGACCCAGCGACTCGTGCCGCAGTTTCGCAAGAGCGGCCGTCTTTTCCTTCAGCTCGACCTCCATGGTAGAGGCATGCGCAAGCTTTGTCCGAAGCTCCTCGGCCTCTTCATTGGCCTCTGCGGCCGCTTTCTCGGCCTTTTGTGCGCGTGTTTCGGCCGCATCAAGCTTGGCCTCCGATTCCTGGACCATCTCGCGCAGCTCGTGCCGGCGTGCGTTCTGGAGATCCTCCAGGGAGCGCTGCAGGCTCTCGACAGTAGCGGCCTGTGCATCGCGGTCCTCGGCGGCTCGCTCGTACTGTTCACGCAAGACGCCGACCTGCTCTTCCAGATCAGACGCCTTGCTTTCCAGCAAGGTGGTTCGGTTGCGCTCTTCGAGTGCGATGACCTCCCAGTCGTTCATACCCTCTCTGGTATTGATCAGTTCCTTTTGCAGGTTTTCCAGTTGCTGCATCAGCTCCTTTTTCTCGCGCTGCCAGTTTTGCTGCGACAGATGGGTGCGGTTCCGGATCTCTTCCTGCTCGCGGTCATGCTCGTTATCAATGACGTCTAGTTCGCGTTGCAGTCGCGCCACCTCGTTGGCGGCAGCGGCTGTGGACGCCTCGGCGTTGGCTTTGGCTTGCAGCAGGCGCTCGTTTTCTGCCTCGAGCTCCTCGATGCGTTCTCGGTTCTCCTCCAGCTCCTCCTTGTCGCGCAGGAACCGGGAGCTAATGTTCTCTTTGAGCTTCTCAACCCGGGTCACGAGATCATCGTAACGGCTGTCTGCTGCGTCGCGCTGAGCCTCGATCTCCTCAAGGTCGGACCGCAGCTTTTTCGTTTCCTCCTCGTGGGACTCTTGCGCCTTTTGAAGCTCTGCCACCTGCTGTCGTAGCCGTTCTAGCTCAGCGGGGTCCGACTCGCCCTCGGGGCCGTCGTTCAGCGTCGTGGCGGCGCGCGGGGTTGTGCTTGTGGCCTTGGACACAGTGGTGGTGGGTGAGGATGGTGCTGATGTTGCTGCTGAGTTGGAGGACTGATCACCGTTGCGGCTGGCAGTGGAGGTGTCCTTATCGCCGTCCTTGTCAATCGCGGTACTCTCGGCGTCGGTTATGTCGGTCTTTGAGTGGAATGGTACCGCGTGGCCGTTGGCCGTCGAGCCGCTCCGAGTGTGGCCGTTGCCACCGTCCTCCCCGTTGGTCGACGGTTTTGTCGGGCTGGGCGGCGTCGTTATGTCTGCAGGTGTTTCGGTGTCAATGTCGGGCTTCTGCTGCGTCCAATGGCGGTTAGCAAAGGGCGGTCCATGTATGGCCTCTCGGGTTGGCTGGAGCAATCTCGAAGAGGCCAGTAACAGGGATCAAGAGGCAAGGAACCTACCACTGCTGCATCGTTTTTTGAAAGTTCGTCTACAACCTCGCCAGCGTCGTCGCGGTCGGCACCATTTTGTGTCTCGGGCTCTTCGGTAGAAGCTGCAGGGCCAGTTGGTTCTGTCGGGGATGCATCCGTAGCAGCGACCGGCGCAGCACTGGCCTTGGCCGCCGCGGACTTCTTCTTCTTATTCTTCTTCTTAGCACCTAACAGGGTGAACGGGCGAAGCGTTAGCTGGTTAGATCAAAGTGTCACAAATATCGCGAAGCAGCGAGGCGCAGTATGCTCCACGAGCAAATGAGCGAGGGGAGAAGGACAAACCTGTTGACGGGGCGCTGTCGTTTTGAGGTGCCAACAGTGGTAATGATCTTGCAAAGAACGTCATGGTGCTGGAGGGGGAGAGCTCCTCTGGAGGGGGCTCAGAGGGCAAATGGGCGCGCAGAAAGACGAACGTGGGTCGTGCACGAAGGGATCAAAAGGTAGTCGATATATACGATGAGGGAAAGGCCAGGTGTATTCGCGTGCAGCATGTATTACACGGAGTCCAAGGCAAGCTCCGCCCTCCGCAGCTGCATTGGCTTTGCTGGCGTTGGCTTCCCCCCTTCGTCTAGTGGCGGCGATTGGCTCGTTTTGGGGGTGCTTGTCGCGTCGTATTTTAATCTGTTGCAGTCGGCGGGGACGCAATGGTGGGCAGACTAGGTCGTTGGAGATAGGGCTCGAGGTCGGAGCCGGACAGTATGACGGGGCGCTTGATGATGACGTCTTTTGCGTGCAATGTTTGTGTGGCATTCGGAGAGTATTCGGAGATGTGGAAAGGACTGCAGTCTGCGAGCGAAGTTGGTTTGAAAAAGGGATATGACAGGGTGGAAGAGGAAAGAGGAAAGAGGAGGGATGCCGAGTGGAATGGAAGGCGCGAATGGGCGTAAACGAGCGCTGGTGCAGCGTTGCGCAGTTTGGTCGCAGAAGCGACCCACGCATCCTGGCAGCAGGCGCGGCCTGTCTCGCGCTTTCCTGTTTTTCTCGCTTCTCAGCGTCTTCGGGACACCCGTGGCACCACATTTTGGGCCCGAGTCCGCTACCACGTAAGCCCAAAACGATGCCCTAGCTGGGTCTTGTGGCCTCGCCCTATTAGCGGGCTGGGCCTCTGTCGTCTACAGCGATATTAGCTTCTTGGAAGTACTCTCGGCTCTGCATGTCTCGACATTTGTCGTCGCTGTTTCTGATGTTTGGTTGCAAACAACACAATATAATCTAGACGCAAAACGACAGACGGCCTGGGCACCCGGCAGTTACCTTTTTTGGCTGCCTCGTAAAGCTGGGCGGTAGTTTGGGTTCTTCTGTCGCCACGAACTTCGTATCTGCAGTATGTACTTAAGCCATGTACCGATGCAGCGTGTATTCTGTAGGCTTGGATCCACTATTCTACACCCAAACGACTTTCTTTGGCAAAGAACCTCCAGAACTTTTTTAGGAACTTTTTCTTCTCCTTTCTCTTCAAAACTGAACACTTTGTCAACCCCAAGGCATGCACACCCTCTCGCGTGGTCGCAAAATTGCGCCGGGAGGATACTTGCTTTCCCACTGGAGTGATGGCCCCGGATGCTGTTCGCTTTTGCTTTTGGCCATGGCTCACTTCAGGGCGGTATTTTGCTGGAAAAGATCTTTTCGGTGAGGACGAAGGAGAAGAGACCACCAGCGCCCTTTATAATCCTCGCACAGAGTCTCTTTACGTGGACGTGCGAGGTTCGCTTTGGGCGTACATTCCTGTTCTGTGTTGTGTGTTCCGTCCGTCGTGATGGACATGTGCGGTGCAAAGCCGCCGATGTGGACGAAGACAGGCAATTTAACACTGTGTCGCGACGAGACAACGTTCAGTGCTGGGAAAGCAGAAGCATGGGCCATTAACAATTCAACAGGTGCAAAAAGAAACTATGAAGACATGAACAAATCTAAACTCCCAAAAACCCAAAAAGGCATGCTGTTGTTCTGTACCTCTGCTCTCTCTTCTCTCTCGTTTCGTCGCATCGTCACGCAGCGACCTTCTTCGCCTTGCCCTTCTTGCCCTTTGCTGGTGCCTTGGAGATGGCGGCAACCGGGTCCTCGGCGGCCTCGGGCGCCTCCAGTGTCTTGGTCGCCGTCGTCTCCTCTGTCTTCTCCGTCTTCTCCGGCTTCTCCTCTACCGCCTCGTCAGCCGCTGGCGCCGCGACCGTGTCCGTCGTCTTCAGCGTCGGGCCCGCATACGAGTAGCCGAGCTTGCTCTCGAGCAGCGCAGCGCGCTCGGCACGGCGCTTGGCCTCGCGGCCAATCTTGTCCGTCCATGCGTCCTCCGGCTTGGGCTGGGCCAGCTTGCGGCCGGCCATGCGGTTCCAGGGCACGGCCTTGAAGCGGCGGTTGGCGCCCTTGAAGAGATTGGCGGGGATGCGCTCGGCGGGGACGACGCTGCAGCGCAGCAGGTGGCCGAACAGCAGGTAGTTGTCCATGGTCTTGGCGACAATGTCGGCGACGTCGCGCTCCGCAAACTCGATAAAGGCGTAGTGCTTGCTGGCACCCGTCTTGCGGTTGCGCGACAGGCGCAGCCGGCGGATGTCGCCAAACTGGCTAAAGTAGCTGCGCATCTCGTGCTCAAAGAAGCCGTGGGGGATGCGGCCGACGTAGACGACGCCGCCAAATTCGGCGCCGTTGGCGTCTGTCGAGGTGGCAGCCACTGTGCCGTTCTGTGTCTTGGTCCCCTTGTCCTCCTTGCCGTCCGTCTTCTTGGCCTTGCTGGCCTTGACCTGGGCAGCCTTCTTCACGGCCGCTGCGGGTGCCTTGCCGACGTCCTGGCCGGGCTGGAACAGGCTGGCGCCGCCCTTGGCCGCATCGTCGTCCTCGTCCTCGTCGTCGCCGTCAATCTCCTTCACTAGGGCTTTTGTCGTAGCATCGTCCTCCACAGCCACATTTGTCTGCTCGGTGTCGTTCTCCTTGTCCTCCTCGCCGTCTTCTGTCTCGGCAGCGGCAGCGGCCTTCTTCTTGTTCGTCTTGGCGGGCGTCGTCGTCTTGGCCTTCTTCACGGGTTCCTCAACGGCCTTGCGCTTCTTCGTGGCTGGGGACGAGACTTCCTCGTTGGCTGTAGAAGAATTGATGTCAGCAATCGGTGTATCCCAAAGCTCCAGATCACCTGGTCGTCGCCGCCTTCCATCCTCTTGAACCAACCTTTGCGCTTCACCACCTGCTCGGAGATTCTGCTTGATTTCCTCGGCGCAGACTCAGCGGCCGGAGCCTTTGCCTTCTTGTCCTTGACCATCGTGAATATGCGTATGATTTCGAGGAATTATGCGGCGAATTTATAGGTAAAAAAATAAAAATAAAAAATCAAACCAGATGTCCTTTTGCCCGTGATAATTGAGGAGGCTGTCTGCTACTACAGCAAAAGCAAAAAAAGTTTCTGCCGCTACCAGTTCCCAGACTTTTTCTGCCGCGAAATAAAGGCGGTGAGCCAGCATCATTTGGCTGGGCTTATGGGGTCTCCCCAGTGGTGTCCCAGCCTATTTCTTAGTGTTAGTAGTCTACTAAGATCATTGGCTTCTAGGGAACCTGCCAGCTCCTCCACGACGGCCTCGTCCGTTACTGTAATGCATCCTAAATCCGCACACAAATCAACGACGACAAGGGGCAAAATATATGATGATATCACGTCTGTCGTGCTCGTTAGTGTATAAAATCAAAGTGCGATATAGTCAGCGCACATTGCCGCATCAGCACAACACCTCTACTGCTCTCACTTGTATATGCAACAATGCAATTCTCATTATTCATTTGAGCGAGGCTTTGACACCTCTTTCTAGTACCCCTATGCTGTCATTCCTGTGGCAAGGCAAGCGACCAGTAAACACCTTCATGCGCGTCACCGCTTCTCGCGAGGATCGCCAACAATCGACTCCAGCCGCCCAGCGAGCTGCCTGTGCCGGCGCACCACCTCCACCCACTCAGCCTCGGCGTCGTCGCCCACATCGAGCGTGGCCAAAAAGAGGCCAAAGTCGCCGCCCAGGCGGCCTAGGCTGCCCGCGCAGTACAGGACCTGAGTCAGCAGGCTGTCGCGCGACGCCTGGTCGCGCACGGCGGGGAGGTACTGCCGCAGGGTCTCGAGCAGCATGTCGACGAGGTGCAAGGGGAACGTCGCGAGGGCGGGCGGTACTGCCTCGAGGGGATCGGGTGTTTCGAGAGGGTCGCCGTGGCTGCCGTGGTCCCCATTGTGCTCGCTCGTCCTTTGCATCTTGCCATTGATTGTGCTGTTGCTGCCACGACTGGTGCCATCTGCATCCCCGTCCTCCTCTCTTGTTGATGGTGTCCCGGAGGCTGTGGCTGTCGGAAACACGCTCCGGAACATGGACACAATGGCAAAGCTCTGCTCGCGGAAAATCTCAATGTAGCGCTTGAGGTACCGCTCCGTCTGCTGGCCGCCCGACCAGGCATTCGCCGAGCCAATCGTCTTTTGCCGTGCCTGTTCCTGGTCGGCCAGCTCGCGCAACGGCGCCAGCGCGTCCAGCGTGGTCGTGAGCGTGGCGAGCCGGCACACGAGGAACACGGCGCCGAGGGCCCGTTCTTGTGCCGCCGCGTCGTGGTGCGAGCGCGCGGCGGCGCCCGGGCCTGGCGCCGCTGAATGTGCCACGGACTGCGCCAATGCCTGCGTAGACTCGGATGTGACGGCGGCGGCCGCCGCTTCGAGGTCGGGCAGCACGCGGCGCAGCCAGCTGATGGTCCGCAGCGACGCCGCGAGCTTCAGACCCGGCGCTTTGAGGGACAGGACCAGGCTCGCGGCCGTCGCCCGCATGGACTCGTCGGCCTCGCTCGCGACAGACCGGACCAGCGGCGAGTCGGGGAAGAGGGCGTGCAGGCGGCGGATGTGGCCGTTGAGGTCGAGGGCCGACGCGTAGTTGACCGGCACAGCAGCCACCGACGAGGCCAGGAGCGGCGGCAGTTCCAGCACATCGACGAGCCGCTCGACGTTGCGTGACAGCAAGAGGGCCTGGCGTCGACGGGCGAGCACGTCGCCCTTGGCGCCCTTGGCGCCCTTGGTGCTGCCCTTGGCCCCCGTTTTGTGTGCAGCACTCTCGGCGACCCCAGTTGTTGCCGTTGTCTTCCCCGCGCGGTATGTCGTCGAGAACCGCAGAGCCTCGTCGTCCAGCGAAGGGATGGCCTTGCGAAGCTCGGCGGTGCTGGCGGCAAGCTGGGGCACGGCGGTGCGCAGCGCAGCATGGCGCTTCGCCGACTCGAGCACCGGCTGGTAGGACTTCTTCGCGAGGCCCTGGAGAGCCAGCTGCAGCGAGTGTGCCGATTGGGCCAGCCTCAGGGGCTCTTCGGACTGCAGCGACGACAGCGGCCGTGTTGCCAGCGTCGCGAGATACGAGAGGGCATCGTGGTCAGGCGGACCGAATCCCGACGACGGTTGCGTCTGTGGTTCTGAGGGGGAGGAGGGGGAGGGAGCTGGCGCCGTCGCCAGTAGGTCGTAGAGAAGGTCGGCCATGGCCGGTGTGGGTGGTTGTGTGGGTTGTGTGTCGTCATTCGAGACGTGGGAATGCCTTCAAAGTGGACAATGCTGTTGTCGTGGGACGTTAGCGCGAGTCAGGCGCCACAGCCCACCTGAGCCACAGTGAGCCAGCCTGTCGCGTTCAGTGGTCGCATGCCTGGCCTCGTCCCGTGCCTCGGCACCTGAAGACACAAGGTGTAAGTACCTCCCCGCTGGACAGCCAGTACAAACAGTACATTGCGGCGGCCGCCCAACGGACCTAACAAACCGCCCCTGAACTACGGACTGTGTGCAACCAAAACTGCGATAAGATAGTCGCAGCCCACTAATACCCTGCTCTAGCGTTCTAGCCCTTCCCCAACAAACCCAAGCTTCCCCACCCTGGGACCTGCTCAGCACCTGTCTTGTGCGCTCACCAACCAACCTGCATCCTTGTGCCTCTTTTGCTGCCTTTGCTGCCTTTGCTGCCTCCCACCGTCAACTCGCATCCGGACTGGAGGCCCCCCCTCCAGACTTTGGCTCTCCTTTCATCCTCTCGTGCTGGTGCCTTCCTACATCTCTTTTATTGTCTGCCACTTCTGCTATGCAGCCCCTTGGCGCCGCCTAGTTTTCATCCTTCCACTCTCCTCCTCGACGACAGCTTCAATTTCAAGCTGCGTATCACGGCCTTGAGAGCGGAAGACGGTTGCTTCGTCCGTCGTAGAGCCTTGTTGGCTTCTTGTACCGTCTCTGTTCTCCCGGGTGTCTCTTTTAACGCTTCATCCACTCGTCAGGTTCGTGTTCTCTCCATCTCTTTCATGATTCTTTTTTGTAATACTTTATTTTTCTTCAAAACAAATTCAACGAAGCATCACATCACACCCAACCATTTCCCTCCTGCAGGCTAAGCGTTTACACACGTTCACCCCCTGCCTCCCTCTCCTCTACATCTGCCATACCTGTCATGGGACCCGGCGGCTGCCTGCAGCCTCTGGACAAACTCTCATATAACATGAAAGTCTGGCCCATTTCACGGCCTCGTGGTCATCCTACCTACATGTCCCTTCTAGTCCATCCTGTCCATCCTTTAGCAGCTCTTGCTGAATTCTTGCCGTTGCGACTAACACTCGGTTTCGTAAGTCCCGCGTCCCTCCGCCACCATGAAGGACGTCTTCCCCATCCCCCAGATCCCGGGCCTTAGCCGGGCCGTCCAGCCCTTGGCCGACACGCTCGGCTTCGACACCCTGCCGCTGCACGTCCACGAGGTTGTCCTTGCCGCCCTCTTCTATACCTTTGTGCAGGTCGTCGTCTCGCCCGTCCTGTCCAGCTACTATTTCCCCACCATCTACAAGCCCATGAACCGCGCGAAAAAGGCCAACTGGGACAGCCACGTCGTCTCCATGGTCCAGAGCCTCCTCATCAACGCCCTCGCCCTCTGGTGCATGTTTGTCGACCAGGAGCGCAAGAACATGCAGCACAACTGGAAGGAGCGCGTCTACGGCTACATGGGCACGCCCGCCATGGTCTCCGCCCTGGCTTGCGGCTACTTTGTCTGGGACCTGGTCATTACCGTGCTCAACTTTGACGTCTTTGGCCCCGGCCTGCTCGCCCACGCCGTCAGCGCCCTCGCCGTGTTTTCGTTTGGCTTCCGCCCCTTCCTCAACTACTACGGCCCTGTCTTCATCCTCTACGAGCTATCCACGCCCTTCCTCAACTTGCACTGGTTCTTTGACAAACTGGGCATGACCGGCTCGCGCGCCCAGTTCTACAACGGCATGGCCCTGCTCGGCATGTTTTTCTCCTGCCGCCTTGTCTACGGCAACTACATGTCCCTCTGGGTCTACCACGACATGTGGAACGCCCTGTGGGACGGCCCGACGCCGGCGTGGGTCGCCAACCCCAGCGCTCTCAACGACCCGTCCGTGCGCGCCGTGGCCGGAAACAAAGGAGGCCCCATCCCGTTGTGGCTCTTTGTGCTCTACGTCACGAGCAACCTCACGCTCAACTCGCTCAATGTCCACTGGTTCTTCAAGATGATCAGGGCCGTGCGCAAGCGGTTCGAGCCGGCGCCCGGCGCGCCGGCTGGCAAGGAGGCACCCGTTGCGGCGGCTGCCGTCGCTAGCGGCGCGGCACCTGCTGACGACGCCGCCATTCGCCATCGGGCCACCGTCGAAGACCTGCTCAAGGTCGACGATTCTCTGACAGAAGTTCAGTAACCGAGTGGGGGTGTGGACTCCCCGCGCGGGTGCGGGTGTACACCATAATCTGCTTCGCATAGTCCGTATGTATGCTTGTGTGTGGAGAGATCCAGAGAGATCTAGAGAGATCGGATTTTAGCATTGGCTCATTTTTTCCGCGTCGTAAGAGGTACAGACACGCGACAGTGCATTTTTATTTCCCTGATTTGGTGGGTAACACGATTTTTTTTTCATAATTGCAATTCGTCTTGCAATCTATGTTTGGGTGGTTTTCTTGATTGATCCTAAAGCACAGTCGAGGTAAGTAGTTCTTTGATTTGGCTGATGATGAGATTTTCTTCGATTTGTTATTTTTATCATGATTTTCCCCCTGTCTTTTATTTTTGTACATAACGATATTTTCACAACATTGGAAGAACTGCGTCAGGATAGAACGCCTTGTTTTATGTTGAAATACCAATACGTGTAGAAAGGTAGAAAAGTAGCCGCTGAGTAACGATAAAAGTGATAGGTGAGAAGTAAATTAAACAAACAGAATATGAAAGAAATATGTGTATACAAAAGAAAAACGTACTCTGTTTATTATTAATTATTACTATTCACTACGAATTTCACACGCATGTTCTATTCGCTGATATCAGGTTTAAACCATGCCACGCACCAACTTATTACTTACACATTTTGATGTGTAGGCATTCCTATGAAGTCCACCGTCGAAAGTATAACTCTGCCCTGGTTACAAATAAAAAGAAGTGCTATGTTATTATGTATACGGAGATAGGATTATATACGATGTTGATGCTCTAGTTTTGTCCAAAAAGAAAAAGGCAGACAGGGTGGCAAAGACAAACGTCGAAGACAAGCAAAATCCAAAGAAAAGGGAATGCAGACAAAAAAAACATACACAAGCACAAGAGAAGTACAGAGACATTGTAAACCAGAAATCAAAACAGGTGGCGTTGCGGATCAGGAGCATCAAAAAAAAAAAATGCGGAAAAAAAAGCTAGCTAATTTGTACGAGCGAGGAAACACGACGCCTGCTGAGGTACAGAAACATCGATCGCCACGAAGCCTATTGCCTGTTTTTATTTCCAAGCACAAGAGGCAGGAAAAGAACGGAAACATGTGGGCAGCCAAACACAAATATCGTCCCGCAGCGATTAAAAACCAAACGGGTTGTCCGGAGCTAGTTGAAGTTAGTACGACCGCATAGAACTCGAAAGCAGAAAAATCATCTTCCCAGGGGATATTCTCGTAAAACTTACTCGCTGCCAAGAGGTTGGCGCGCCGGCCCGTGGCCTGGGGCATCAACTTCTTCGTCTCCTCCGTCACACCGAAACGGACAGGGGGCGGTGGACCCGTCTGCTGAGGCAAAAGGGGTGCCGGGGTGGGCGCCATGCCGTGGTTGCCGAAGCCCTGCGTGAAGGGGCCGGTTGGCTGAGGCTGCATGGGCTGCATAGTCTGCTGCTGCTGCTGCGCCGGCGGCACCGGCATGGCAGTGCGCTGGGGTTCCAGAGCCGGCGGCAGCATCGAGTTGATGTTACCTCCCTGTGGCGGGGCCATGCCGAACTGTTGTTGGCCGGGGTTGAAGGGCCCGCCGAAGCCGGTGGGTTGCATTTGCACAGGCTGGCCGAATTGGTTTTGCTGCTGTGGCATAAATTGTTGGCCGGGCATGCCAAATCCGGTCGGCTGCGGCTGCTGCTGCGCGGGCATGCCCGTCATCATGGGCATCATACCCTGGGGCTGCTGCTGTGCCATCATCTGCTGCATCTGCTGCTGGTATTGCTGCTGCATCCGTGCCTGGTTGATGTCGTTGAGGCTCTGGCCCGCCGGTGCCACCTGGCCAGTGACCATGCCTGTCATGTGGGGCTGCAGCGGGGGTGGGCTGAATGCGCTGGGCTGGGCAGACTGCGGCGCCGAAAGCGGGCGTGAGGGAGGAGGAGGGAGCAGACCGCCCTGGCCCTGGGTGTACTGCGGGGCCATGGGCCGCGCCCTAGCAAAAGAAGCAGCCGTCTGCTGTGGCTGGAGCCCGTTCATTCCCTGGATGCCGGTCTGCTGCTGGGCCAGGCCGGCGAACATTGCGGGAGAAGCGCCCGGCATTTGCGGCGGAGGCTGCTGCTGAACAGGAGGCAGCGACACTGCGGGTGTTGCTTGTGCAGGAAGCGTGATAGGGGGTGGAGGGTTGGGGTTGAGCTTCTCTGCCGGCAGGGCCTGCGAGAGAAGGGACAGCTCTTGCATCGAGCCAGTCAGGGCAGCAGTGGGCTTTGCAACAGGCGGTGGTGGAGCGGCTTCAGGAGCATGCTGGGCAGTCGGAGGCTCTGGTGTCGCAGCAGGAGCAGGCTGCCGGGAGGGCTTTACATCCCACGCGTCATCATCGAACCCGCCACCACTGGACGCAGATGCCTGCTTCGGGGGCGGCGCAGTTCTCTCTGCAGGGGTTTGTTCCACCGGTGATGCAACACGGTTGCCATTTGTAGCATTGCTGGCGTCACTCGACTTTTGCTGTGAGAAGGCCTTGGCATCGACAACGTCATTCGCTTGAGTCGTGGGCGTCGGCCGGCCACGGCGCGTGTTGTTTCGCAGGGTGCCACCTGGGCCCGAGAAGAGACCGCCGCCATCGGCACCGTCGTCACCACCCTTCTTCGAGCGGCCGTACTTGTTGTCCAGGAACCGCATCACCTTGATGATATCTCCTTCGCGGAGGCCGAGAGTCCGGAGGTTGCTGGCATTAATGTCCGGCAGGACGCTCTCGTCCATGTTGTCCTTGACAAAGGCCTGCGCATACCTTTCGCACAAGCCAACGGCGACTTCGCAGGTGAGGAAGAACTGGAACCAGTCGTAGTCGGACTTTTTGGGCTCGATGGAGGCGCCGACCTTGGTGCCGGACGAGTTTTGCGACTCGTCGTGCTGTTGCTGGATCTGGGACCTGCGCTTCATGCTCGAGAGCGGCTTGTCTTCGTCCAGGGAAACGCCCGTCACAGCCTCGACGTACTCGAGGTCCTCCAATGACATCTTGGCCACGGGCACGGCAATCTTGACACCGTTCATCTTGTGCAAGTTGATCTTGCCGTCCTTGAGACCTAAGAACTGCGCATCAACGCTGAATGATTTGGTGCGGTCGGTCCAGGTCCGTACTTTGGACGCATCGGGTTCTATCTCGTGTTAGTGGGGTTTCGTAACAAAAAAACAATCAGGGAGTATGGGGTTGGGGGTGCTTAGTATACGTACTGGCCTTGCCCGAGCGGGAGCTACTGCCGTTGCCATTCTCTTTCTTGCGCTGCCCCTGTTGGTCACCCCCGTTAACGTTCGTTGCATATAAACTACTGCGCCTCTCAGGCGGATGCACGCCATGGCCTACCTCGTTTGCTCGTTTTGACTCGTCGCGCACCGCAGCGCGCACGGCGTCGCGTGTCAGGCGCTCTTCGTCCAGGCGGTTCTGCTTCACCGTGGATCTGGCACCGATGGTTGCCATGGAGGTCGAGATGGCTGGGGCCGTGTTCGTAGTGGGCGAGCTCGGCGTGGGCGACTGGTGTCCGGAAATCGGCTGCGGGGGAATGTCGGACGTAATACTGCCTGTGACCTCGACGTAGCTCAGGGGCACGACGCCTTCTTTGCCATTCTTAACACGGCGCACCTGGCACCATTCCTCACTGCGACGGTCGTCGAGGACAATGACCTCATCACCGGTGGCTACCGTAACCTCATCGTCGCCCTGGGCCATAAAGTCGTACAGAACCACGGCCTTCTTCAGCTCGTGGCCGGTGCCTGCCAGGATGACCTCGCGCAGGCCCTCGGCGCGAACGGCACCGGCAAGCTCGCCGAGCGCACTGACAATCTCCTCAGCCGTGTCCTTGGCGCCGGCGTGGAAATCGACGCTCTTGCTGGGCTTGACGAGTTCCATAAACACGTGCTTGCCCTCCCGCGAATAGTGCGTCATCTTATCACCAGACCATTCCTGCGAGGGGCCGTCCTGCGACCTTTCTGGTGCGATTAGAATAACACCAGTCTTGAGGTTGATGCCGAGCGTCGTGGGCATCTTCTTTCGCTTGCCCATGACGGACACCATCTCGGAAATGTTGTACAGGTGGAAACCGCCCGGGCTCAGGGCGTTCGGGGCATGCGACTCCTCGTCATCGTAACCACCGCTTCTGCTACTGTCACCGGCCCTGTTGCCGCCGTACGCATTGCTCTTGCTCCGTTGCGGCAGAGATGGAGATGGCTCGTCATCGTCAAAGGTAGCTTGGGGCCGCGGTCGTGTCGGCAGTGGTGGCGAAAGTGGATCCTCTCCTTCCGAGGCGTCGTCGGAGAGGTAGCGCGGACGGTCTGGCAGCGAAGGGGGAGGCGTCGCCGGTCGTTGCGCAGCAGAGCGGCCAGACAGAACATTGGCGAGTGCGGCGGCGGCAGCTGAATTGGCGTTGGGGCTGCTCGGCTCGTTGGAAGGAGCGCCACGGGGAGGAAGGCGTGGACTTGGCGTGTTGTCGTCGTCATTGATCGTGGCCTGTCTTGACGGGAGCACAGGAGGAGGCCCCTCATCGTCGGCCTCACCGTCATTGGCATCGGCAGCGGCCGCGCTGGTCCCATCCATATCGATGTAGTTGGCAGGCGCAAAGCCGTAGTCGTTGTCGTACCCTGCAAGAATCCAGTCGGGATCGGAGGTGTCGTAGATTGCCAGTTGGGCGTCCTCTGGGAACGACAGCTCCTCGTCGGTCTGTCTTGTATATTCGTACAGGGCGCGTGCGTGGCGAGTCGGTTGTGCCTGGTTCACACGGGTTAGACTCGGGAGAAACGTGTGTATTCTCTTTGACGGGCGGTGCCGAGAGAGGTACGGCAGTTCAAATCAGCTCAGTCTTACCTCCTCGACGTAATTTTCTGGAATCAAGCCTTCAGGCTCGTCCTCGTCATCGCCGGCGGCCTTCTTTTTGGCTTTCCACCAACCATCGCCGCCATCCTTGTCGAGGACATAGAGCAGGCTGCCCTCGGTGATGGCCAGCTCGCCCTCCGACTGAGGCGCATAGTCGTAGAGCGCCTTATACACACCGACGAAACCCATGATGTGAAGAGGTTGTGGAATCGCACTAGGAATGTTGTCGGAGATGGCCTCGATGAGATGAGAGAATAGGGGCGGAACGCCCGGGAGGTCGTGACTCGGCCGGACGGGGTGAGGCGTTGAGTAAGAATATTCGTTTGGAAACTAGCGCCGTGCACCGTGCGGTCGTTCGTCGTGTTGGGGAGGTCGAACACGACGTGCTTCTGTCGTCGATAGGGCTATTGCCTTGCCCGAGCGCTGTTTGTCGTCGACGTCAGGGGGATTTAGGGACGCCTCGACGACGGGGACATACTAGTACGCGAGATAAAAAGGGGTGATGCTGATAACCGAATCTCGGGTTCGATTTGCCTTTCGACAGGAGCTGTCTGCGAGGACAAGGAAAACCCTCTGGCGGCACAAAAAGAGAGCTTGCTTGCCGGAAGTGCGGATGGCTGTGGATTTGGCGGGAACGTGTTACCCAAAAGGTCGTTTCAGATGGGAGGCTGGCATTAAACAGTCTGAAGTCAGCATAAACAGTGTGACAGTTGCGAAAACAAAGCACCGCTGGCAAACTGGGGGGGTATGCGCGGTTCGTAGAGCCTGGTCGATGGCGTAGCGAAGCTGCAACCACCCAACAACACAGACAGGCAGACAGGCAGATATGGAAATGAAGGGTCCTGCATCTTACCTATCCTCCGTTGGTATTGTGCAACGGAGGAAACGAGATGAGAGGACAGATAAAGGAGGGCGGAATGGCTCACAAGTAACGATGATGGGCGGTTGGGGACGTTGCTCCAACCGTAAGAAATAAAAGTCGAAACCAGCAATGATCGAAAGAGAAGGAGATCGCCCTCGATCGCGTGTGTGTGCGCAGTCCGTGCCGGGATCGGGGTTGTGGACTTTGGCAGACGCAAAAAGGACGAGCTGGAAAAGGGGAGGAAGAGAAGAGGATCAGGAAGTGAAGTTGCCAGGGAAGAACAGAAAAGCCCTGTTGAAGAAAACGAGGTTAGGCGACTTGCGTTTCTAGGGGTGGCAGGTGCAGGTGGGTGGGTGTGGGTTACGATGCCAAATAGAAAGGAGGCCAAGTAAGAATAGAGGAAGAGGGAAGGCGCGGCCACCGGCGGAAGAAGGAGCGAATTGGCAGTCATAGTTACTTCCGTACTGTTAGTACAGAATAGTGGGAAGTGCCTTCCCCTTACGTTAGGCTTTTGCACCCAGTGGCTTCTTTCTCAATTTTGCAGGGAAGGAGGGAAAGAGCTAAGCCCAAGGCCGCGTCGCAGAGTCGTAGCGCCGTTGTTGCCCGGATTTCGCAGCTGGCTGCTAGTAAGATTCTGTTTCTGGCAGTCTCCAAATCTTACAAAGAGGACGCCGCCCGCCCAGACGTGACTTCATACTACATCGTTTTGCATGGTGGCCTTGAGAAGTGGGGTAAGATATGTGAATTGGATTGGCGGAGAGCAGCTGCACAGCAGTCCAAAAGCTGCGCTGAACGACATCAAGGTGGCTGTGGTGCTAGTCAGTATGTATCGCTGTGACGGGCAGCTCTGGAAGCTCGACAGCGAATAGTGCACACGTGACACCAATTCTCCCGCAAATGAATGGTTGCACAAAAAGTTGACGGCACAGACATCGCAATGGCTTATTTCCTAAAATTACAACGACTCATGAGCTCCCCTACACGATGCGGAGCGCTCTCTCGTCGCTTTAAAATGCTACCTTGGAACCCCCAATTCAGTATAAAAAACGCAGTACGCCTATATGAGTGAAACGTACGAGTTCAAGCCGAATCGTTCGTGCTCGTCGTCCTTCTTTGACCGCTAGTCCTCGTCTGCACCGTCCTCCTCTTCATTGGGCGCACCGAAACTACCCGTCTTTCTCAGCCGGCTGGTCGAGCCCGTGACGGTGCTGTCGTCGGTCTCGTGGTATGAGTTCTTGCGGATGCTGTTGCGGCGCTGGCTGCGCGTGGCAACGCCCGGGAAGTACCGAGGTTCCGAGCCGGACAAGTGCGCACTTGGGTTCGGATCAACAGCACTGCCGGCCGGTGTGCCTGCTCCCGACGCCGTTGCATCAGCAGGCCACGTGCTCTCTCTAGACAGGACCAGAGGCGATGCTTGGATCGGGCCGCCGGTGCCCAGGATCGGTGCCGCGCCTCCCTGTGCCGCTGCATTCAATGCCCCGGTCGAAGCACTGGCTAGGCCGGCGTGTGCTGAAGAAAGGTCCGTTGGAAACGGGCCGGCATGGGCGGCTGCAGGCAGGGTGACGAAACTGGGTCCCGTCGCAGGACCGGTTGCCATGGCGGCGGGAGTCGGCGAGTTGAGCTGGGGAGCGGCGACAGAGGCCTTGAGCGCCAGCGAGGGTGATCTGGGAACGGCCGCGCCCTTATCCCACGGCAGGGGCATCTGGGCGGCATCTTCCTCGACGGGCCCGGCAGGAGGTGCCTGTGTGTATTTCTCGATCCTGTGCATGTCCAGTGAGTCATGTTGTTCCTGAAAATTTTAAAATGGAAAAAGGAGAGGCAAAGAAGGAAACCTACATCTGCCATTCTTCCCGCAGTGTGCTGTAGCGGAAGTGCTGCCGCCGGTCGGGAATGTTGGTCTTGACCATCATGTTGCCGGCGATGCCAGGCTTGTAAAAGTCGGGTCCGAGCCACTGCTGCTTGATGGCAAATTCGTAGCCGCTTTGCACGACCGAATTCTTGGCCAGCTCACACATGTCGACGGGACTGAGCTTGTAGATCTGCGCCGCGACGGCATACTCCTCGATCAGCGGCTCCTTGGTGAAGGCGAACTGCAGCGGGTCGTCCGTCGAGAGAGACACATTGAGACCGCGCTTAAAGTACTGGTGGAACGGGTTGCGCTCGTAGGCCAGGAACAGCGCGTTGTTGCTGAGCGGCGACATGGCGATGCCAATCTGCTCCAGGTAGTAAATGTACTGGAGAAGCGGCACCTTGCGCAGAAGCAAACCGTGGCTGATGCTGTGCGAGCACAGCAGGGCCACGGCGAGATGCTCGCTGTCGCCGGCCTCACCGCAGTGCGGGCGCAGCACAAACGTGTTGAAGCCGCGCTGCTTGCGCCAGGCGTTGAGCGTGGCCATGTTGGCAAACAGGTAGTAGATCCAGTAGCTGTACGGCGGGTTCTGGCCCGAGTTCCACGCCTTGGGGACGGGGAACTTTTTGAACAGGCGGCGCTCGACCTTGCTCTCGTCGTCGACGCTGTCGAAGCCAATCACGCGCTGCAAGAAGACGTGCAGCTTGGGGTACTTTTGCGGGTTCTTGGTCGCCTCAAACAGCGGCTCAAACACGTTCGCGATGACCTGCTCAAAGGACGCCATCAGGCCCGTTGCCTTGTACACGTCGTACAGGCGCGGGATTTGAATGAGCCAGCGCACGTTGTGCGAGAAGAGCTTGTTGTCGACCACCCAGGCGGCCAGCTTCTCCCACTCGTGGATCGACTTGCCATAGATGGAGATGCGCCATTCCGCCATTTGGTACTTGCTGGACTCCATGTCGGAGATGACCTCTTTGGTGATCTCGGCCAGGTAGCGGCCCTCAATGTCGTTGTCGGTCTTGAGGAAGATGGTCCGCAGGCGCGATTCCCCAATCGGGTTGTACTTGAGATTGAATTTGTCAAAGCGATGGAAGGTGTCCTTGTGCGCATGCATATCCAGTGTGTCGATGCTGAGATCGTAGGCCGTGAGGTTGATGCTCTCAAACACCTCGGCGAGCGTGAGGTGCTTGCCGTCACGAAAAATGACGACCTCGTCCGGACACTTCTTCATCTTGCTCTTGATGAAGCGCAGCAGATGCTTCTGGTTCATGCAGGCCGAGTGGTGAACGTGTGTGTCGACTTTGCGGACGTTGTAAAAGTCGCGGTGCGGCACCCGCTTCGTATCCGCCGTCTCCTGGTACTCGTTGAGCAGCGTGTAGAGACCAAACTTGCCCTCCAGGTACTGCAGTCGCCGGTACGCAAAGCTCTTGCTGGGCCCGTCGGCCGACACGTTCAGTATGGGTTCCAAGTCCATGTAGAACTCGCGCAGCGTCGGCACGCTGACAATGGGCGTGTCGGCAGCGGCCGCCTTGTCGTTCTCAAACACTTGGTACACGCCGCTGTCGTCCAGGCGGTACGTGAGCTCGCTCTCGCTCGGAAGCGGGCCCAAGTCCTCCATGTCAAAGTCCTCGCCAATGTCCTGGCCCGGCTTCCGCTTCTTGGTCGACTTCTTGGGCGTATCTGTCTGCTGCTGCTGCTGCTGCTGGGGCAAGACCATGCTATTCGAAAGGCTGTTGTTGACGCTGTTCGCAGCCCGCGTGCCGCTGGCCGTGGCGCCAGCCGTGGCGCCTGGAGCATCTTGGTCCGCAGTCCATACCGGCTCTGGTGGCTGCGGGTAGATGGTCCAGCTGGGGTCGTCCTTGGGGTTGTCCATCGGGCCCTGGAGCGAGAGACGAATGTACTTGTGGCGCAGGTCGATGATCTTTTGGATGTTCTTGAAGATGGATGTGAGCTCAGACGTGATTTGCGGGTCCGCGTCGGCGTAGGAGGTGCTGCCAATGCCAGCCGGCTCGCCAATGTTCAGCGCCGAAGGACCGGATGTGGCCGTAGCTGCAGCAGCAGCCGCCGCCGCCTCGGATGCCATGCCAAACGACAGGCCTGCACTGAAGACGTCGGGACCAGCATCGGCACCCACGGCACTGCGACCGCCCACATGGCCACCCAGGACGGATCCGTCGACAGCGTGAAGGCTGACCGACGCACCGTCATGCGCATCCACGGCCGCGCCGCTGGCACCCGAGCTGACGCCGTGATGGCCTAGGCCCCCAGACGTCGGAGCGGGCGGGAGGGGGTCAGAGACGCGGGCATTGCTACCCAGAGGCGATCGCAGCGGCATGCCACCTGCGTCACCATTCCCCATTGCTGGTGGTGCGCCGCCTGGTAGGACAGGGCTGGCAGCGGTGGTGGTTTGCTGCTGTCCCTGTTGCAGCTGCTGCAACTGCTGCAATTGCTGCATCTGCTGCTGGGCGGCGGCACTCTTTTGCAGGTCCAACTGGCTCAGCTGGTAAAAGAGCTTGGCATCGCTCTGGCTCATCTGGCGGTCGGCAATCGGGTCGTAATAGGCGCTTCGTTTCGGCATGTCCCGCGGCAGCATGCCCTCTTGGAGTGCCGTGGCGGCCGTGGCAGGGACAGTGACGTCTTCCGCATCGTCTTCGGAGGACACCTCGAGCACCTCGAGCGTGCCTTCTGCTGGTGCTTCGTCGACCGGCGTCACATCGCCGCCGACACTAAAGCTTGCTCTGGGTGGTCGGTTGCCACTGCCAGCCTTGTCCGGGGCCGTCGTGTTGTCGCCCTCGTCGTCGAGGAAGGTCTGGTGCTCTTCGCCGAGCTCTTCTTCGTAGTCGCCGTCCGAGTCGTTCATGGCGCGTCCGATCATGGGAGGGGAATTGGAAGTGGAGCGAGAAGCATGGTCGCCGTGAGCGTGAGCGTGGGCGTGGGAAAAGCCATGGTTTCGGTGCGAGGCTGCAAATAGAAAAAGGAACCCCGAGTCAGCTATGTTTTGTGCAATCTCTGAGACAGTGCCTGCCCACGATGCACAAAAAAAAACACCCTCGAGTTCCAGGTAGAGGCGAGAGAGAACGCTGTGCTCTCTCACCCCGTCCTTTGAGTGCTCGAGAAATCGCCTCTTACCTGACATGGCCGGCGGAGATTGTTGGCCTGATGGCCACCTCTGTGGAGAGAAAGGCGTCTCGGGACGAAACGATTGACGGTTTGCTCAAGCGAGAACAGTGCCTACTAAAGAGTGTGCCCAATCACTTTGCTTGCCGATGCTGATATACCAATGATGTGTGTTTGACTCGAGAGTGGGATTTGATCGGTGAGAAGTCGCCCTTGGAAGAACTCCAAAAATTGGAGACATGGGGAGGCGAGAAGGCTGTTGGTAGGTCCAAAAAGCGGTTAGGGCCAAGCTTTAGCACGGCCGCTCCTTCCTCCTTTGTTGCAAGTGCCAATGTCTCGGCCGTTTTTGACCCCAACCGCCTGCCAAAACGAACGACCAGATATAAATACTTGCTGGACGGGCGTTTTCGTCTTGTAACTGAAAGTTAGAATCAGAGCATTCCGTAGAGTCAATTTTGAAAAGCGAGTGTCATCCAACCCGGATGATAAGGCACCCGGCTGTGTGCGGCGTCTCTCAGGAGTCAAAAGTAGATGTTTAGTTGTAGGTCACTTGTTCGCACCTGGACGGGAAGGTGCAAAGGTGTGACGTCGCCTCGGTGTAAAGAAAGGGCGCTTTACTACGCCAGGCACAGCAGGTGCTTTCTTATTGTGTGTGGCCCGCGAGAGAAGGAGCGAAGCAAAGCCCGAAAGAGGGGCTTGATTACGTCGAACGGACGCTGAGGCTGAGTTGGAAAAAATAAATGGTGAAAGAATGGGGCGCGCTTTACTGGCTTTCATAGCGCACGGCAAGGCAAGGCCCCTGGCTCCAGGCTAGGTCGGGCGCGGCAACACCGGCCAGTTAGTTGGGAAGCGCAATCGTGCGCTAGCGGCAGACAAAAGCTTAATTTGCTGCCCACCAAAATCCAGGCACGAACTGGCACGACAAAGATATCATGTGGCTACAAAGTCAGTAGGAGCCGCTGAAGGCGGAAAACGTATTTAGTTGGACCATAACGCCCTTCTATGTCCTCTATGGGGGTCATTGAAACGACAGCATTCGTTCATGAAGCCTTGTGATCGTCTGATCGTCTGGTCTTCTCAGCTGTGTGCTGTGTCCGTCATAATAAAATGCAAAATAAACAAAAAAAGTGTAAAATGGAATACAAAAACAAAACGAAACGCAGCCAATCCTGGCATCTTTCTCTCATCACTCTAGCGACCATGTTTGCGCCAGTGAGATTGAGAGAAAAACGCGTTCTAGCCCACCTTGACGCTCACAGCGCGCGGCCGCGCAGACGGCTTCCTCTTGCCGTCAAACGAGTAGAGGCCGCCGGCCGAAAAGACAATAATGGCGCCGATCAGCGTGCCGGGTGAGAGGCGGTTGCCAAAGAGCCAGATGCTGAAAAGCAGGCTGACGAGCTTGCGGATGTTGAGCACAATGGTCACGGTCAGGGCCGACGACGCGGCCGCCAGCAGGTTGACGCCGCGGATGCAAGCATACTGCGTCAGGACGTTGAGCACCAGGTAGACGAGCTGGCTCGGGATGTGGATGCGCTCGACGCTCTCGCGCAGGCCGGCCGCAACAGCGACGTCGGCGCCGTCCACGGCGCGCTTTGCGGCGTGGGTGGCCGTGCTGGCGGCAGCATCCAAGAACGGCAGAGAGAGCGGGGCGCTGTTGGCGAGGCGGGAAAACTGGCGAACGAGGGACGGCAAAAAGGGAAGGAAGAGCGGCAGGGACAGCAGGTGCGAGTAGAAGAGGTTCTCGCGCCACTGGGGCCCGTACTTCTTGTACGTCTCCTCGGTGTAGAGGCCCATGATGGACGAGAGGACCTGGGCAACGAACAGGATGGAGAGGCCGATGATGAACTCAATGTTGCCCTCGGCGGCCTCTTCTGCGACGCCTTTGCTCTGCGCGTCGGACCAGGCGGCAACGACGACACCGACCGTCAGCAGGAGAACGGCCAGGATCTGGATGCGGGAGTACCGCTTCCCGTACAGAAAGCCGGCGATCATGGTGGTGATGCTGCCGCCCGAGCGCAGGATGATGTGGACGGGGACCGAGATGTTGTAGCTAAAGGCGTGGTTGTTGAGGACGTTGATGCTGAAAAAGAGGACAATGTTGACACACCAGCGCTTGATGGGGACTTTGTTGGGTTGAATGAAGAACGGCGGGCGGTCGCCGTCGAACTGGGAGACGTAGCCGGTGATGGCAACGAAGAGAAACTGGGTGAAGGTAAGGAGGGTACCTGGCAAGGTTGGCAAGGTTAGCAAGAGGGCAGGGGCAGGCCATGAGACGGTCGGAAAGCGTGAGGCCTGCGGCGGTGACGGTGACATACCACTGGCAGGCTCGACCTTGATAATGGCTTCGAGCGCGAAGACGTTGGAGCAGCAGCCGCCAAAGATCAGAGCGAGCATGGCGCCAATGGTCAGCCATTGCGGAATGGTCTCGATAAAGATGCGGCCGGCGAGGGCCATGGCCCGTGAGAAGACGGGCCGGTCGTCGTCGACGCCGTACATCTCGGCCTTTTCCAGCGATGGGGCGGCGTTGATCACTCGAGGACCCGGCGTGGTCGCCACATGTTTCGGGGGCTTATGCGAAGTCTGGCGGCGTCGGGCGTTGGAGGTTGTCATTTACACGGTTGGGAGGGTCGACTCGAAGCGGCCGTGGAGGTTGTGCTCCGGTGCGACAACGGCGTCTGGCGTGGATACAAAGACGGCTGTTGGGGTCAGAAAGGGGCGTTAGGTTGAACGGAGGCAACCGAGGCAGTCAATGGGCGTGGACAGAGGCGCAATTGTGTCTGGCGGACCGTTTGTCTCTCATATATGGTGACTTGGTGGGTATGTATGTCTCGAGTTGTGCATATAACCGTGCCCCGGGAGGAACACAGACAGAGTGAACGTCTGTTTTGCGAGCTGTATGAGTGTATGAGTCGTGGAGGAAGATGCTGGGCCGCAACGATGGATAGGCCGGGTATGTCGGAATGCCAAAACGATCTCAGTATAGTGATGTAGAATAGCAATGAGGGCACTGTACGCTGCTTTTCTGCTGGAACAAAACGGTTGGGCGAGATGGACGAGTGGCGAGAGGTGGTTGTGTTGAAGTTGACGTCGAGGTGGTGGGGGCAGGCGAGGCGAGATGGGCAAGGGGGCAGAGCAAAGAGAGCGAAAGAGGAAAAGAAGGAGAAGGAAAAGGGAAGGAAGGCAAGGCAACGAAAGGAAAGACGGAGACCAGAGATCGGACGGCTGTTCTTGCCAAACGTGGACCTAATCGTGGCCGGCTCGGCAGTCACAAGGCAGAAAGGGGGAAGGAGCAGCAAGCAGCAAAAAAGCAAAAAAAGCACAGGCTGCCGGTCCTTGGTCGCGGTTTCCTGCTTCTCGCCAGACAAGTTCCGGGCCCAGATGGCCCCAGTGTGTTCTCTGGAAGAGCCAATCCCCTGCGCCGTTTGCAGTCAGGAAGGTTTAAAAAATAGGGAAAATTAAACAATCCAAAAGGGAGCATCTCCTTCCGCGCGAAAGAGAGGGCTTTGTGGGAAGTGGATCTCCCGAGGCGCGCTCGTGTCAATCAGTGAGAGCACGACTGCACAGGTGGCTATTTGCTATGTGTCTTTTTCAGATGACTGCCCGAGCCCTCTTTCTTAGAGGCAGATCGTTCTGTCATCCTTGTTACAGAATTGGTGGTGTGAAAGTGGCGTGGTGGTGCGCCGGAGGCAAGAGCCGCAGAGCGATAGTGGACGTCGCCAGCACTGCCTGACGTGCTACGGAGAATACAACATACTGTGAGACTCTGTATAAAAAAGAATCAGTGGATCCGTAGACGCGCTAAGGAGTCCAAGGCCTGAACCAGAAGTATGAAACGCCACGCCAGGTTGGTAGAAACGACTTAACAGGTACGAGGAACGAACAGAATAGGAAATGTAGCGGCGCGGAAAGTGTGGGACCTACGAAATGGAATTACATGTGGAACTGAATTGCTGAATTGCCTATTGTAGATTGATCGATCAGAGGCGGCAATTGGAACTTACAAGTGAGGAGGCAGCTTTACCAGACTGCCGTTCATGAGGTGCCTCTTATTTCGTTATGGACAGAGTACTCCTTCCTGGGTCTGTTGTAACCCGCCGTGATCGTTCTGGATCGTGAGAAAAATGAAAAATAAATACCCCCACCCCGTTGGCAGGTTTTGGAAGAGCTTGAAGTGAAAAGGGATGAAGAACCAGTGCACGTACACGAATGCGGCCTGAGAAGCTGTCAAAAGAGCGGATGAGACTTAGCGACTGGCTCTTGGGCACTGCAATCTACAATGTGTCCATCCAACTCCGTTCACACCACGATCAGCGCTTAAGGACAGGAACAGGGCCCCAACCAAGGGCGCTAAGCTAAGGGTAAGCGGAGCAATCAACGTGTAAATACGGAGGGTTCATTGCCTTGGAGTCTTGACAATGCCAGATTTCACAGCGAGAAGAATCTCGAGACGAAAGAAGACGACGGAACAAAAGAGAAGAGCAACAATGCTCGAAATGGCCTTTTGACTACGTCCCATAGCTGGTCGGCAATGTGAAGCAAGTGAAGCAGGCTGCACAGCGTATGGCGGAACCGCCAGGAAGCCGGAACGTCCGTTCACCCATATGTCTGTCCTGCTCTCCGGCGTCATACATAGTCTGTACAAAACACCGAACCATGGGACGCTGTTCTAGACAAGACTCAAGTGCACACGAAATAAAAAAAGCACTCCCTGCACATGGCCCATTTGGAGATGAAGATCAGCCCCTAAGCCTAGACGGGCCGAGCGAGCGAGCGATGGGATGCTGCTTTCGGGAGATACGATTCGCTGCGGCCAACGCTACGGTATTCAGCAGGTGTCTGCAGAGGAATACGACGTACATCGTACGGGCAAAGGAAAGCGGTGATCCTCCCAAACTGAAATCAGTACGACATACGACCGGACATGTTTAGTACGACGTACGCCGTACAATGTATGGCTCCGTTCGCGGACGAGACGACGCTCCAGGCACACTCTCCCGTCGTCATAATACGACCCCGACCTCCGCATTGTTCTTCACGGGTAAGGATCTCACAAGCCTCACAAGAATCAAAAATGCCCGTGTACGGACTGACTTTATTTCGATTTATTTGCTTGGTTGATGCTGTCTCCAATGGGTGTAATAGAATCTACAGCTAACAAGACAAAATCCATCCTGGATCGCTGGTCGCTGGTCTGCCAAGCCGGTCCATGCCGCCTCGACAACACGGTCTGCGCAGCTCCCACACACAGGGAGGGGAGGGGGCCAGGCTTTCGTTTCCGTCTCTAGCCAAGATATCATTGTTGTCGTTTGTCCGTCGTCGTCGCGCACCACTCCGAAAAAGAGAAAACAAGGACTCAAACGACAAAACAGCAACAACACCCATCGTCCTCCAACCAGCCTCCAACCAGCCTCTAACTTGCCGTCGTTCTCTGCCTGCTCCGTCTCCCAACCGTCACTCGACGCCTCCCCCTCTTCGTCTATCATATGAGACCAAAACATATCAACAGGAACAGAGCCCCTGCGCCCCCCTCCCGATGTCTTCTTTTCTGCCCAGCTTCTCGCGGACAGGATGCCAGTGTGTGTGCTCGTCTCTGTGTCTAAAATAAGTGCAAAGGGTAACAAAACACGGAATGGTCAAGAGATAAAGTCAAGAAAGCGATCAAAACGGAGCAAGGTAGAATGGTCAAAATATGAAAGATAACGGGAATCGAGACATAGGGGCGACATAAACAAGAATACGACACAAGACAACCGCCGCCCCCATCTTCATGATACAAGCGGAGTTGCGCCGGCTAACCACCCGACTGGTGGCAGTCTACAATGCGGAGAAGACAAATAACTGCATTGGACGTTAGCGATGTGACCACGAATAGACAAAAGGGGCGTAAGTTGAGGCTACAGGCACTCACGTTGTTAGTGGCGGCGATAGCGATACTGTCCTCAAACGGATGCCAACTCATGTGTAGGATCTTCTTGTTAAAATCGATCTGGTCCGCGTCGGTCTCCTTGCGCATCCGCTGGCCCTGGCCGGGCGTAGGGCTGCCCGACCGCGAGCCGTTCTTCTTGCCGTTGGCCGTCGGGCTGGTCGACGTGTTGATCGGCGTCGGCACGCCCACCTTCTTGGCCTTGAAGGCCGACTTGTCGGCCTGCAGGACAACCTCGGTCTCCTTCTCAGGGTCGGTTGGGTAGATCATAAAGTTGTTGTTGTAGCTGCCCGTCATGACATTCTTGGCATCGCCCGAAAAGACCACCTCAAACTTGTCAAAGATGCTATCGTTCTCGTAAGTGTCACAGAGCCTCGGCCGCAGATGCTCGTGGATAGGGATCGTCTTGACAGGCTGTCGCTCCATGTTCACATCCCAGATCTTGACGGTGAGGTAGTCGCGGGACAGAATGTAACGGCCGTCGTGTGAGAACCGAACATCTGAGATGGATGAGATAATTTCGGAAAAGAAGGACCGCGATTGGGGGTCCTCCTCTTGTTCGAACACTGCAGCATCTTTGTTAGCAAGCGAGAAAAATGCACAGAGGAAATCAGAACCAAGAACCCAGGGCAAACTTACGCTTGGCGTGCTGGTCGCACAGCGCGCTCTCCCGCATGTCCGCCAATTTGATGGTGCCCTTGGAGCTGGCATACATGAACCAGTTGCAGCTTTGTGGGTGAAACTCGGCAGCGGTGATCACCTCGGTCAGCTCCTCCATGTTGGCCGGCTTGATGTCGACAATGTTGAAGCTCTGGTCTTGAATGTTGAGGTTCCAGAGGTTAATGCGTAGGTCGTCGCTACTAATGAATGTTTCCCCGTCACTGTTGACCGAGATGCTGTTGATGTGGTACGCATGGGCATTGGCGTAGGTCCGGCGCGGAACGGCGGCGACAACGGTGTCGTGGTGCGTGAGGCGGGGGAGCTTCAGGTCGCTCGCGTTGCGGAAGTGCACAGATGGTAAGGGCCGTGGGGCGCCGCCACCGGCCACGAGACCACCGGGCGTCAAGTCTTGAGTGAGATTGTTCTCGGCGACAACTTTCAGCGACTTCTCAAACACCTTCCACAGCTTGATGGTCTTGTCGTTTGTCGACAAAAGGTAATGTGAGGCATTCTGCCGCCGGCACCACTTGATTTTGTTGATCTTTTCTTCAATTTCGAGCGACTTCAGGTAGTCAAACTCTGGCTCGTGCGATTGGAATTCGGTGTGGAACTTGTACTCGCATGTTTTCTTCTGTGGACGAGGCAAGGGTCGGATACTGTTAGCCGTCCATCACATTTCCGTCGCTAAATAGAAAAACCCCGTTCCACGATGAAGACGGGCCGCACTCACAGTTTCGTTGCGCTCAAAGAGGACAACTCTTCCTCCCTTGTCTCCTGTTGCTAGGTAATTGCCTGTGTGGTCAAACTCGACGGTCGAGATGATATCGGCTACGTAACAATATTAGTACCGCTGGTCTGGTGAGATGCGCCAGGGTGCTATCTTTCAAGTCATGTCTGGGACCTACCTTCCGTGATATCTTCCACATCACCTTTGTCGCCAAAGCACCTGCGAGGAGACAATGCGTTAGCGGTCGCTTGGACACGACGAGAGCACCTGGCAATGTCCAAATGATACGGGTCTCGAAAAGGAAACATATGGGTAGAGGCGTTGTTTCTCGCTCAGTTGTGAATCGGGGTCCGTGGAGGAGCTTGCTCCTGAGAACCATCCCAGGCCACAAACGCAAGAGTACTATCAAGCGGGCCCAAGGTGAGAGGTAATATGAGAATAAAGGGGGAGCCTCGACAACAAAGAGACGCTTGGTAGCGGTTGGAGGGGCACGAGTAATGACACGAGTATGAAAGGACTCGCAGGCGGTGTTCGAGGGATAAAAGAAAAAGAGCAGAGGGACCAGGGGCCACATACTGTGTGAACTTCCACGTAGGGGAGTTCGCCTCTGCTTCCACCATGATTCCAAGCCTGGTTCGCAAAGGGTGCCGGAAGAGCAGCCCTTGTGTCGATGACGAAACGAGTTGATAAAGGTGGTATGACGAGCAATCGATATTGGGACGGCCAAGGGCGAGGTTGAGCCAGGATAGAGGGCGATTACGGTCGACAAGTACGGCGACGCAGAGGATAATCTATCGAGCACCGAAGCTGTTTTTAGCAAGATGTTTGAAAACGGGACACAGCATAAGCAAAGCGAGGCTGCGGAAAGGGATCGGCAAGGAGCGAGGCAGCAAACAACGGAAGCAGAGCAGGCCCCGAGTGCCGCGATGAGATACGCAGGAGAGCAAAAGTTCAAGCTAGGAAATATGTCGCGCGACAAGCACTAGGGGTAAGGTAGGGGATCAAGAAGCAGGGGCGGGGAGAGCGCTGAAAATGACAAGCTCGAGGAAACTGGGCGCGTATTGGGTTTGACGATGCTTGAGGAACGACAGGAGGGAGTGTGGCAAGCGACAAATGCAAGACACGTGGAGAGGTGTGGGCCGCAAAGAAGCTTTTTAGGTTGACAAATGCGTGTTTTGTTTGCGTGCAGGGACCGGAGCCAGGCACAGTATGTGGAGAGAAAAACCAAAATGATAAATGATACGGAAGGCAGGGCTGAGAGGCTGTCTGCAATTGATAAAAGCAAGCGGAGGAGGCAAAAGAGGCAAAGCAGGAGAAATGCGGGAGCGGTATCGCACCTTTGGCACGGTCTGGCCGATGTGGATGTCTTGGATCCTAATTCGGAACCGACGATGCGTCTCGTGGGCGGTGTGGCGGCAAGCGCTGACTTTCGCGAGCTGGACGATGTGTCAACGCGGTTCGGGGTCCGATCGAGGAGGGGAGCGTGACAAAGACGGCCGGCCGGAGCAAATCGATGGGGGTTGGCGAACGCGGCGAGTCGGGAGAGCGCGTTCCAAGGAGTGGGCGGTTGGCGGAAGTAGAAAGGATGAGGTCGTCGAGGCTGCAACGTCCGAGGGCGGGATGGCGGGATGACGTGAATGGCGGCGTGAGCAGCGGCGAGATTGCGATGGCAGAGACGATGAGCGAGAGATGGCGTGCAGAGCACGGTGGCCAACTGAAGCAAGAAAAAAGAGACAAGGATAACAGGAAACGGTCGAGATGGGCGATGTGGAGATGGCAGCGGCTGCGCGAGGAGAGCTGCCAGTCCAAACAAGACAAGGGGGTTTCTGGAAAAGACGAGGATGCGACGTGACAAGGACGGGAGGAGGAGGAAAAGGAAGCAAAGACAAGAACCCAAAAGCGATCGAAACGGATTCTGTACACAAACAAGGTTAAGGCGGCGTTGGGACAGGACAAAGAAGGCGATACGGCGTGAGATGTCGACAAAGGTAGGTTGGAAGGGAGAGCGATGTCCACAGAAGAGGCAAGAGGTCAAGGGCAAAAATACATCAGCACCTTCCCAATAATTTGCTGGGATGGTGGGAAGCAGGAGGGAGCAGGAAGGCAAGTCTAAAGGGGGGACGCTCTGGCGGCGAGGGAAAGAGCGGGCGAGGAGAGAGGGGTGGATGTCCGCTGCAGGCGTGGCAGGTAGACCGGACGCCCAGAAGGGAAGGGACTATGGGCTTTAGGGGCCGTTATTGCTGTCAGACCCCCCTGCCAGCTTAAGCTTTACAGGTCCGGCCAGGGCCTGTTTACACACTAAGACCGCACTGCAGGGGCATTTTATGCTACGTATTGATGCTGGTGACTTGAGATTCTGGTGGCTTGTGCGGGGTAAAACCATCTGGGACCAAACTGAAGACGTAAAAAACAGTGGGCGGTCGCCGGTTAGAGCTGTTTGTCCAGCCTCCAACAGCACAGCTTAGAGCTGCAAGCTTTTATCGCGGCTTCCCTAAACCGGTAAGCTAAACGGAGCAGGCCACGAGAAAGTACCCAGCAGGTACTCTCTCTTAACCCAACCTTTGACGAGGAACATGAAGGTACCGACAGGACGTAGCCACTCGGTAAAACTTCAAAGGCAAGAACGGAGCTCGATATCGACTTTCGTTTGGTTGGACCTGATGACCTCGTGGGCAGCTCTCTTACTAGTTAAAGGTTCGGGGGGTTGCTGGCTGGTGAATTGACACGCCGTCTGTTTTGTTTCTGGATTGTCGATGACGACGATGCCAGGACCATCTTGGCCACGGTGAGAATCTCAGATCCTAGCTGGCTACAGATCCATATTCACGTGCATGCCTCTCTTTCTCTTTCCTAATTCCGCGGAGTGTCACACTGCCCTTGGACCTTTATATTTTGATCGTCATGCCTTTTTGAACTGTCTTTCATCCTTAGACCACAAGACACACAACAATGGCAGGGAACGACCCTCCAATTGCCAAAGGAAAAGGCAAAGGGAAAAGCATCGATGAAGACACCACAAGCGGCGGCCGGAGCACGGAGTCGGCACCAACTGATGGCCAGCCGTCAGTCTTGTCCCGCATTGCCCAATCGGCGGCGAGCCTGGGACGAGATGTGGTGTCGGCCCGGCCAAGTGGCGGCGACCTGGTCTCGCTCACGTCGACAGACAAGGGCGGGCGGGCCAGCCGCGGACAACCGTCGGCCGCGGCTGCAGCCGGCGAAGGCTCTGCTTCTGCTACGTTCCCAAGGTCGGCGGCACCCCAGTCCGGAAGCAGCAGTCACTCCCAGCAGCATGCCATGGCACAGGACGAAGCATTCTCGCAATTCTTGGATGGGACCAGCATCGACATGTCCATGCCCGCCGAGCCAATCATCAGCCTCGACGACAATGCCCTGTTCGAACAAGCGTGGACACATCGGACACAGTCGACAGACGTGCCGTCGCTGACGACGACGACAGCGACAACTACGCATTCTATTCCTCCGCCGTCTTCGGCCGTGGCCGAGCAGGAGCGCTTGGACGGCCTCGATGTCGTCAACCTGCTTGCTGGGGCCGGCCCTCCAGAAGAAGAACCTGACTACGGCGACATCGAGCTGGCCGAGGACGAGAGCAGGGCGCTCAAGCTTGCCCTGTTTGGCGATAGGAACAGTGAAGAGCAGTATGTGGCCTCGACAACAAGCCACGATTGGGACACAGTCCTCAATTTCATACCCGATTTCGTGCGTCCGAGCCCCGGCGGCGAATACGAAGACGACCCAGGACACACCCAATCCCGCACCGGCGCACCGACAAAGTCCCGCGAGACACAAGCGGCGTTGGGCATGCCACACTCGTCCGAGAGCACGCGACAATGGCTGGAACAGTGGCAGGGCGTTCTGACTCGCTACGACGACGAAGTGTGGGGCGGGCTGTCGCCGCTGGTTGCGCAGGCCCGGGACGAGGTCGACCAACTTCAACAGTCGGAGACGGACAGCAGTCCTCCCGATCGGCCGCCGGCAAGCACAAAGGCTCTGGACCGCCTGCGACAGATTTTGGGGCATCTTCGCGAAGATTGAGACGTGTACAGTGCCCTCCGTACCGTTGGTGTTGATGGCTACCTGTGTCTAGATGTGGCACGTGATATCCAGCACCGAATTCCAGCCCCGCCAGTTTTGGAGTAGCCCAGGCGCTTTTAGCGATGACATCACTGATCGTCAAGCTCTTTAGTACCCCGGAGCTGCCAGTAAGAAGCTTAAGCTCTGACAACGACAAGGAATTTGCGACTCCAGGTTACCGCCCGTGCGATGTTGGAAACGCAAGAGAGTAATACTATATGGACAAGTTACGGGATAGCTATGGACATTGGGGTGCAATAGAGATACCCTTTGTTATGTTTCGACCGCAGTTACTTAACAATTGCCGCCGGCAGACTGCGCGATCTCTGCCGTGTGTCTGATCTCAGTTTTGTGTCCGAGCGCTTATCTAAACAAGACAATGCATACCGGTGTTACCCTGTGGCATCTATTTATATTCCGTTGTGCCTTTTTGTCTCCCGTTTTTTTGTATGGGGTAGATTTGTTTGGCACGTATAGCTGCTGCCTCTGAGCCTTCTGTGTCCCTTGCCTCCATGCCAGGATCAACTGGTCGATATTTGAGCCCTCCATATGCAGAAACCTTGGGCGAGACGAATTCTCTCCACCGCTATATATGCAGGGCGGTATGCAGGAGAAAACGCAGGGGAGCGTGCAGATGATTTCCACAAAGTCATCCACAGGGCGAGCTAAAGAACACAAAAGTACGGAACACGGCCTCACAGGCAGCGAAGGTCGTTTTTTGGGCCTAGGGGTATCTGGGCGGCAAAAGTAAGGCGCGAACTGGGCGCGGGAATCTACGACTCGGGTTGGTTGACGGAGAATTTGCAAAAGAACTGAGTGAGAAGCAGGAGAGAACGAAACTCTGATAGGAGGACGACATGGGCCGGCCCAACCATACACATCATGTTGCTTTGGAGATGTTGAAATAGAAAGGCACCATTACGGCCCGACGCAGAGCCGCATCAGAGCGACAACCAGCTGTCCATATCACAAATTGCAAAGTCCAAAAAGATGGACGAAGCTGGAGAATGCGCTCGCCTCTCTGTTTGACCGTTTGACGACGGCAAAGCGCCGATCCAGGACCGCCCTGTGGAATGCGTTCCCAGCGGGATCTTCGAGCGATCCTCTAGCGAACATTCAGTGGGTCGCGCGTTCACACATAAGTTAATGGGTGTCTCAGATGCTTGCTTTTGGTATTTAACATTGTGTGTCACTTGTCACTCGAAGTCTAACATGTCTCTGTATTGTCTTTGGTGTCTTTGAGTACAACCTGACTCTTACTTTGTGACAGAAATTCGCGAACCGCTGCAAAATCGCTGCACGCAAGGGACAGAAGCACGGGGTGTAGAGTAAAAGAAATAAAAGAAACTTGTACAAGGGACAAGGAGAGAAAGAGGTGCATAGAGAAGGGAAGGAAATATACGAATAAAAAGAAAGCAGGAGGACAATGCGCTAGGTCACAACCGTACCTGCCTCGAATCACTTCCACGCTGATTAAGTTGCCACCTCCTAGCTGCCTTTTGCCATTTTGCCCTTTGATGCCTTGCTTCAACTTGCAGCTCGTTCCTGCCATTTCCGCCTCTCGTCCCCAGCGCTCCTTCTCTTCTTATTCCCTTGCTTCCATTTGATGGTCCCCCTAGCCTCTTTCCTAATCCTCCACAATAAATTGTACGAACGACACAACACCGCCCACGAAGCCTAAGTTCTGACTACATTCTCCAAGAAGGTGCAGCGGACCAAAGACGCCTACTCATTCCCACTGGAACTGCGCCTCCCTGTTCCCAAAGGGCTGAAATCGACACACGTGCACCTGCCCTTTTGACAAGCAACACAACGCCTTCTTTAGCACGAACGGGCAGGTACGACCAGACCAAGGCAAGTCCGATAACAAATACAGTAGGCCAAGGTCGCATCTCAACGAAAATCGAACTACCAAGCTGCATTCCGCCCATTTACAACTCTCGTTTCTCTCTCTTAGCTTGCCACCTTTTTACTTTTTCTTCTCCTTTACCTTCTTTTTTGGACTCTCTCGACATCCTCTGCTCTTCTTCTGTGCCCTCTACACCTCTGCTCGGCACAGTTCTACCACCGAACAGCGACATATTTTACCAATAGTTTATTATTGACGACCTGTTCTGTCCTCGCCTGGCTCCCTGATCCCAATCATTTGCCCAGATTCCCATACGCGCACCATACGGAAGCGTTCGACGGCATGAGCCCGTCGCACCTCGACACCGGCGGCGGTGGCAGCCGGCCAACAAAGAAAGACGCCAGACGAAGCCCCATTGGCAGCAACAGCTCAGACGAGGAAGAGAACTGGCACTCGACACCAGCAAGTCCCGCGATGAAGCCGACAGCAAACGACGCCGATACGACAGCGCTCTCAACGGAAACAGACAAATCATCCTCGCAAACAAAACCTTTGACAGAATTATCACCCGCCACCGCTTTTCCTGAGGTGGGAGGGGTTGTTGGGAGTCGACAAGGATTCGACCTAGACGAGCAGGGGTCGGTTCGACCAGGGTCAGGACATGGGCAAATGCATATGCCAAGGCCAATACCACCGTCCTCCGGCCCCGCCTCCGAATCGGGACGAGGAAAAGGAGCCGGTGGCGGTGACAACTTTTCCGATATTGCACTTGATGACCAGCGGTCCTCCATCCCATCCTCCGTCGCTGCCTCAGACGCCGAAGAGGCTGCGCGCGTCTTTGCGACACCGCCACAATCTTCCACGCCCAAATTGCCGCCGTTACCCGCCCGGCCACCCGTGGCGCGCATGTCGGCGGCAAGCAATCTAGCTAGCGACGGCGATGGCGATGATGCGGTCTTTGACGAACGGCCCTCGTCGTCCTCCGCCGCCGGCAAAGGCCCAGCACCACCGCTGCCTCCGCGCTACTCGTCGCAATCGTTTGGAGGCGCACCCATCTTTCCGCCGCCGCCCAAGCGCCGTTCACAGCGCATGAGCGGCCGTCCCATGTCGATGGCTTCCGTTATGAGCGGCACAGCCTCGCCGTCCTCGTCAACCACCTCGCCGCGCTCCTCGTCCTTCTACCCGCCCAACTACCTCAACCGCCCTCTGCCCCAAACACCTACGTCGGTCGTCAGCGGTGGCAGCCGCCCGTCGTCCTACTCCTTCTTTTCGCCCACCACCTTCATGTCGTCGGCCACGTTGGCCACCTTCTCGAGCAACACCTCCCAGACTCGCCCGCTCTCCATGGCCATGGATGTCCCCCGCCCCTTGCGCCTGCAGCCGAGCCTGCCCATCCGCAAGGGCACCTCCACGCCCGGCAGCAGCAGCAACGGCCAGGCTGGAGGAGCGGGCGACGACGCGGGCGACGACGCCGGGTACGACATGGCCTGGCTGCGTGCCCACCAGGCCGCCGCCCGCATGGCGCGTCGGCGTCAGCGCGAACAGCACTTGGGCCCCGAGGCATTCGAGCGGCACCGGCAGCGTCTCGAGAGCCACGAAGGCACCTTTGAGGTGGTGGCGTGCTTCTTGCAGCGCCTGGCGCACGCCGAGAACGATGCGCTGGAGCCCGAAAACTTCCCACACTCGCTGGCCGAACAAAAGCGTCAGCAGGAGGCTATGGAGCTCATGCGGCAGGAGACAGTCGAGGCGCTGACCCCCCTGCTGGCATACGGACCGACAGAACCGCCACCGCCGGCTCGACATGTCTCTTCGGCCAAGACGCCACACATGTCGGCCGCCACTGCGTCGTCCAAGAAAGCGGGCCCTGTGCCCGGCCACGCCGTCGGCCTACCACCAACGCCGCCCCTCTCGCCGCGTCGCCACGATCCTCGCCGCGAGTCCGGCATGAGCAGCATCACAGAGACAAGCCTCAGCGGCGCGCACAGCGATGACAGCAGCAGCATCCACGGCAGCGCGCGGCCCGCCTCCGATACCTGGCGGCAGTCCATGAAGCGGGCGTCGGCGTTGTTTGCCGGCTGGGGTGGTGGCGGAGGAAGTAGCAGCACGGCGCCGGCTTCGACGACGCGGTTCTCTGGCGACTAGTTCTTTGGAGATCCAGTGTTTGGCCGCCGTCTGTTTTATACCTTTGTTGTGATGTGCGTTGTGCTCTCGCGGTGAAAAAGCAGAAAGGAAGTGTATCTCATATCTTTCGGACATCATCCTGCGGCGTTTTACTTGTAGCAGATAGTGTACGGCGTTTCCCTTTCTCGCAGTATGGTACTTGGGGATAGTAGATTATGATGTTTTGTCTATTTCTTCTTTCTGGAACTCTTAACGATTTCGGCACTTGCAGTTGCAAATACCACGGGCTCACTGCTTTGGGGGACTTTACAAATATTATTACTGATACCGTAAGGCGTCTTTGCTGTCACTCTATCCGTTTTGTTGCAATCACAAACTTTATTTGATTCATTTTAATGTTGCATATTATCACAGTATGGTTCGCCACGACAAGACCAAGGGGGAATTTTTTGTTTTGCAAATGGTATATCCACCTCTGAACAGGGAAAACAAGCCCCTCTGAGGCTGTCCTTTTTAAATTAAGAAAGGAAGAGTTTCAAGAAGCAATAGAAGGGCTGAGTGGGCTAAATAAAATAGAAAAAAAAGCGAAAGGAACAAAACATCATCGCGCCCAGTGACAAGCGTCCTATCATCCTGAAGAGGTATGGGCGGCATGGGACATGAGCGGTACGCAACAGCACGCGCTTACACGCACACGGTGAGTACGGTAGAACACGGTAGCGCTACATTACTCGTGCTCCTCGATGTCGCCCTCCTCGACGCCGTACTCCTCCTCCTCCTCGTCGATACCAGCATCCTGGTACTGCTGGTACTCGGAGACCAGGTCGTTCATGTTGGACTCGGCCTCAGTGAACTCCATCTCGTCCATACCCTCACCAGTGTACCAGTGAAGGAAGGCCTTGCGACGGAACATGGCAGTGAACTGCTCGCCGACACGCTTGAACAGCTCCTGGATGGCAGTCGAGTTGCCCACAAACGTGGACGACATCTTAAGGCCGCGCGGCGGGATCGAGCAAAGAGCAGTCTGGACGTTGTTGGGGATCCACTCAACAAAGTACGACGAGTTCTTGTTCTGGACGTTGCGCATCTGGTCCTCGACCTCCTTCATGGAGACCTTGCCGCGGAAGATGGCGCAGCAAGTCAGGTAGCGGCCGTTGCGGAAGTCCGAGGCGGCCATGATGTTCTTGGGGTCGAACATCTGCTGGGTAAGCTCGGGGACGGTCACAGCGCGGAACGAGTACGAGCCACGGCTGGTCAGGGGGGCAAAGCCGACCATGAAGAAGTGCAGACGGGGGAAGGGCACCATGTTCACGGCGAGCTTGCGCAGGTCAGAGTTCAGCTGGCCAGGGAAACGCAGGCAGGTGGTGACACCAGACATGACGGCGGAGACCAGGTGGTTCAGGTCGCCGTACGAGGGGTTGGGCAGCTTCAGGGTGCGCATGCAGATGTCGTACAAAGCCTCGTTGTCAATGCAGAAGGTCTCATCCGAGTTCTCGACCAGCTGGTGGACAGAGAGGGTGGCGTTGTAGGGCTCGACGACGGTGTCAGACACCTTGGGCGAGGGGACAACAGAGAAGGTGGCCATCATGCGGTCGGGGAACTCCTCACGAATCTTGGAGATCAGGAGGGTACCCATACCGGCACCAGTACCGCCACCCAGAGAGTGCGTGATCTGGAAGCCCTGCAGGCAGTCGCAGCTCTCAGCCTCGCGGCGGACGACGTCGAGGACCTGGTCGACAAGCTCAGCACCCTCAGTGTAGTGACCCTTGGCCCAGTTGTTGCCGGCACCCGACTGGCCGAAGACGAAGTTGTCGGGACGGAACAGCTGACCGAAAGGACCGGCACGGACGGCATCCATGGTACCGGGCTCGAGATCGACCAGGACGGCACGGGGGACGTACTTGTTGCCAGAGGCCTATCAAAATAGTTAGGTTAAACTAGTGCCAAACGGTGGGACGTGACACTGAAGCCGGTCGGGAAACCAAAAAACAAACCTCGTTGAAGTAGACGCTCAGACGCTCCAGCTGGAGGTCCGAGGTGCCGTTGTAGACACCATTGTTGTCGAGGCCGTGCTCGCCGGAAATCTGCTGCCTATACCTTCGTTAACACAATTTGCGTCCAATCCAACGATTCAAAGGTATCTTGCACATACCAGAAGGCGGCACCGATTTGGTTACCCTATAGAAGAAATCAGTCAGCAAAACATGTCTCGCCGATTCCTGTCGTCAAGGGGTCACTTCGAGATTTCGGTAACTCGTTGTCTCCGGAACGTGAGAGGGGGTGGGGCGCAGAACATACGCATTGGCCGGTCTGGAGGTGAACCTGTTGATGAGAAAAAGGAGGTTAGCAGTTGCTCAAAAATTATATTGGCGTCGTAGCTCTGCGAATGCATGGAGAAAAAGCCTGCAGCAAATATGTGCGAGGTCTCACTGCCACGCTCTCTGCATTTTTGGTGGCCGGTGGTTGTGCAATGTGTGGTAGGTAGAGTCGGTGAGTGAGGAGAGGGGTCACACTGGCTCCAAGAAGGGAGTAGGCAACCGTCAAAGGCGTGCATAGTAAAGCGGACGGCACCACCGGCTGAAGCAAGCAAATGCCCCAATTCACGCCCATCTCGCGATGTGAAGCTGTCTCCGACCTGGAGATGCCAAGCAGTCGACACCAGGAACGAGTAGGATCAGGGTCTGGGTCGGCCTTCTCGTGGCGAGCAAAGAGACGGTGAGAGGAAATAGGGGCAGGGGGACAGGGCAGAGAGACGCGCGAGAGATGGAGAGCAGAGGACTGGAACGCGGAGAGGGGGGAGAACTCACAATCTCGCGCATGGTGACGGTTGTGTCGTTGGGTGTGTGTTGAAGGACAAAGGTATCTAGAGGTTTGGATCGGTATTGAAGAAGGCAGAGTTGTGATATTTTTTTGTTTGGAAAGAAAAAGGAAAGCCAACAGGGTCGGAACACGATATGGGCAGTTTGGAGGGTGGGGAAAACAGGAGGAAGGTGCGAGTGTGGGAAATGAGCACGGTCCAGAAAAAATAATACGGGAGGGGGGAGGGGTGGGAAAGAACAGGGGGAGAATACAACTTTACAGTGGTTGCCTTCACCTGTTACAGCAGCCCCTCTCTGCGTGCTCAACAGATTTTGGCGAGGTACATTGCCTTGGGTGGCTCGAGCGTGGAGGGAAAGACCAATACACAAAGACGATACACCGCAAGGGAAGGTGCCAAAAAGGGGCTCGGAGGCCAATAACGGCCCAGGAACGGCTGTTGGTTTGTTGATCTCGGGCAAGTGCCCACCCCTCCTTTCTCTTGTTCTTGCCTGTGTTCGCCGCCAAAAGTACTCACCGCTAGACAACGCGCGACTGTTGTTTCCAAGGGGAAAGAGCACCTGCTGGTCCTTTGGCCTCAGGCACAGTTGCGTCCCAAGCGCGCCATGAACGGCTAGCGCGTCTTTCTTTCGGTCCTCATTTCCCTGTACTTCGTTGGTTGTTTACTCCCCCGTCGCGTCTCAGTTCGTCCCCTGGCCCGTGCCCCAGCTGCATTCCTGTTGCAGACTAGCGCGGGGCAACCGTGTCTAACGGCATATCTCTTACACGAATAATCCGTGTGCTGGACAGCATTTCATCCAGGCCGTCGGTCTTCTTGATATGAGAGCGCCAACATGCAGAGCCCATTGTACTTTAACTGCTGCCTGCACGGCTGCATTCCTGAAATGCAATCCTACATATGATGCTATACTTCAGGTTAGAAAGGTGTGTTGCCTATGTTCTAGATAGGCAGCAGGAATGCCGAAGTAGTTGGACAGAAAACAAACTACCCAGGAAATGTCGTGCAATCGTGCAAAGGTCATTACACGCAGTGTTCCTTAAAACATAATGTCATTAATTCTATAGATGCTTGCTGTTCCTGTGCCGATGAGACGAGCCTGGCCAGCTGGCCAGCTGGCCACCGCCGCTGTCAGCATCCATGAGTCGCAATGTGCGGTTGTTTTGTATGTGAGTATGCGTGTGTCCTTCTACCTGGTTTTCAACCCAGACATATCCCTAACGGGAAAAGATAACAAAGTCGGAATAAACGAGAAAAAAAAATCATCATGAAGCTCTGTCGGCCCCGTCGGCCCCAGAGTCGATACCATGCCCACCAGCCTCTCGCAATGTTCGTTATTTTTTGGTCAGAGTTTTGGCCATCCGAAAAGAAATAAAAGTGTCTGTTTTGTCCAAGGTCCGTTCCAATTTTTGTGTCCCCTCCCTATGATGTCCCAAAAAAGAAAAGAAAAACGCAACCGAAAGCAAATCAGACGGGATCAAAATCAAGAACAGAGGGCAAACCGGGAAACAAAACGCGGAAAAACGTACAGTGCATGACCACATCTTGTAGCCATGCCTCTCCTCTATGCAGTCCATGACAAATGAAATAAGAAACATATGAAATAGACGGAAAAGGAACAGAAAAGGAACAATGCAGTAAATAATGAGACAACGTCGGCCGGGTAGTAATCGACATCAGTGTGTATTCGTACAAGACAGGTAATGTGGTAACGACGCCATGCTAGTAGTAGAAGTAGAGACAAGTGAACAAAACAATGTACTCTGGTGTGACTTGATCTCAGTTCACCGTCATCATTTGCAGCCTCTGGCTGACTCGCGCCGTGGAAGGTGATTCCAAAGCCGGCGAGGCACGAGCAACCGAGTTACCACTGTGGCTCTTGGGTAGTCGCTTTGAGGGGCTCGATGGGTCGGTGAACACACGCGTGAAAGCGGGGCTACCGTCCTCACAGCGATTGAGGCGGTCATGTCGTGGTGTCACGGCCGGACTCTGCGTGAACAGCTCGGCGCGGCGGACGAGATCAGAGAGTGTGTGGAAGAGGGTGTTAGCGCGCTTCACAAGCTCCTGGAGCGTATTCGTGTTAAAAAACAGCTCCGATGTTGACGTCTGCTTGACGGGCGACTTTCGAATCGGCGCCGATGCGGACCGCTGCTGCTGCATTGCTGCCATGATGGACTCAATCATAGCACTGTCGGGCGTCTCCGCGGTCGTTATGAACCGGTTGGGTGTCTGCGGTCGCCGCGCCTCCTTCTCGACTTGCCTCGCAGGGGACTTGTCATCAGCCACTGGCCAGCCGCCACCAAAGATGTCGTCTTCGGGGGAAAACACCGACCGGCGGCGAGTGTTGTGTCGCTCCCTAACAACAGCAGTCCTACTCATGTCGGGTCGGGGTGGCGTGCTTGGCGCCTGCAGAAATTCAGACGTGTCGAAGGGATCCTCGAAGCTGTCGCGATTCTGGGAGTCGAACTTCGCTTCCAAAATCCGATTGTCAACATCGGACGCATCGAATTCGATTGAGGCTCTTGGAATATCGCTGTCGTTCTCTACTGCTGCGACTGCCGTTTCCGCTCTCTCGGTAGGTGAGCCACTAGAGTCTCCTGCAACGGGTTTGGCCTTAGGTGCTGCAGCCTCAGAAAGGTCTTCGTCAGGCGAGGCCAGCGCAATGATATTTGCGGCCTCTTTCCACAACGCTGGCGATTCGTCAACGATGTCCAGGTCCCGAGCATGACGGCAAAGGCGCTTTAGCCCGTTCACCAGGAGCGACAGCTCGCGGATCTGGCCCGAATGGGCCTTCACAGTGGGCTGTGTGGCCTGGATCGATGCCGGGACAATCATGGCAAACGAGCCAGGCCCTTTGCTTGAGCGCAGCGTGGAGGAGCGGCCAAATGCATCCTCTTCGTCGGTGTCGAAGCAGTCGGCAGCGTTTTCGTCATCATCGTCATCGCCGTGATTGGTGCCAAAATCAAAGTCGTCGTCCCAGTCCTCACTTGCGTTCTTCGGTCCAGAAGAGGCCCATGTTCCGAACTTGGATGTAGACGGCTTGGTACCTTCGGTTGCAGGGTCAGCGTTCACTGGTACGCTCTGGCTTCTGACGTGAGCGACTGCTGGGCCCTTCCGGTTCGCAGCCCGTCCGTTCCTAAGGTCCAGTTCCTGTTTGCCGTGCACAGTCTTGGGCCGCGGTGAATGTCCATCGCTGTCAATCTTGTCGAGGTGCACGGTCGACTCGCTCCAGTCAAACAGGTTGCTCCGAGGCCGCTCTCGACTACCGCCCGTCATGAAGCGATCGTACTGTTCGGACGATAGGTCCAGTCCACCGTTTCCACTGATTAGTCCAAGAGCAGGGCGCTGATGGTGAGAAGATGGGAAACCAGTGCTGTTGTTTCGGAACAGGCCGTTCATCTCGTGGAACGAGTTGTGGGCGGATCTAGACGGTGGGGACAGGTGATTTGTAACACCACTATCATCCACACGCGCCCAGTCGTCATCATCGTCATCATCAAGGGATGGCCGACTATAATCAACGTCGTTTGCATGAGAAGAACCGCTAGTCGCCGGCGCGAGGACGCTGTTCAGTTCGGTTTTGGGGCGATTGTCGCGGCTGTTAGCAGGCATATAGTCCTCGTCAAAGTGACGCAGGACCGATGAGGGAGATGAAGACCGTTCCGCTCTTGTTTGAAGATTCCGAATAGGGGTCGAGAAACCCTCGTCTTCTTCCTCCATGATCCGCGTGTCACTATCCCAAGCCTGGCCCAGAATTTCTTGTATCGAGAGACGCTTCGCTTTGCCGTTGCCTGCTGTGCTGGGTGGGGATTCGTCAAACATTGACTCGATCGGGGTGTCGGTGGAACGGACACGTGCAGAGGCCGCGGTACGGATCGAGTCGAAGATGGTATCGCTCTTAAAGTCGGTATCGTCATCATCGCCGGACGATGCAAATCCGCGTTGTTCCAAATCCGAGCCGACTAAAGCGAACGACCGCTCGTCAGATACATCCCGGTGGCGCGGCACAAGTGGGAAGGACCGCGGCAGAGTTGCAAAGCCTGAGGGACCAGATGTCTGGTTCTCCTTGTATGACGCCGAGCTACCGGCAATGGCAGCTGCTAATTGGCCAGATGCGCTTGAAGAAGCTCCCAGCCGAGTCAAATCAATATTAAAACTAGAGAGGCGCGACAGTGGAGGTAGAGGTGAGGATGAGTTACGTTGACGCTTCGGAATAGCTCTGGCATCCACGTACGACGGTGGCACGGGACTGTCTCTGCCGACCACCACCTGTTCCCCCTCGTGGGCATCACCAGGACCGTGGGGTGGCTGGGTGAACCCCTCCAGCGGTTTACGGAGGTGCAAGTCGGCCGGTGTTGTCGCACTACGAGTCTGGAATTGCTCATAATGTGCGTGTGCTGATGAGGGCCGGGACCCAGATGAAGGAGCAGAGACATGCCGTCTCCCATTAGACAGACTACCTGCAGCAGCGGCAGCAGCAAGCTGTCTATTCATGCGGAGACTGCCTGTGGCACTTGCGTTTGGCGGATATTCGGTGCCGCGTTTCGAACGACGAATGCTACCAGTCTTTGACATCCAACTTGTCGGTGAGCTGAAGTTCATTGAGATTGAACGCCTAGCTCGCTTTGATGGTGTGTCCTGGGGCGAGGAGTTTGAGCCATGAGGAGAGACAGTCATATCGTCTGTATTCCCCTCAGGCGTCTTTCCAACGGTTTTGATAGCAACAGGCGACTGAAAAGGAGAGGCGAGCGTCGCAGTGGCACGTGGTGCGGGAGAAGGAGACGGCGTCGAGGCAGGTTCTTGAGCAGAGAGCGCTGAAGCCTGCGTAAGATAAATTCTGGATTGTTTCCCGTGTCGAACCTGTAATGTTCGCGACGGAAGGCTGTAGTGAGTACCGCCAGGACTACTCTCACCGGAGAAAGGCGAACTACCACGAACAGGTACAGTCGACTTTGTTAATTGTCCATGGAAAAACGATGTCCACTTCGTTTGCAGAAAGCTCTTCTGGGTGTGCTGCAGTAGCCGGGGCTCTACGTGAGCATGAGCACTCTCTTCCTGTCTATCGTCGGTTTCTGCTCGATCGTTTTGGTCAACACGGGGCTCGGGGCTGTCAGCTCCCAGACGGAAGATGGCCAAGCTTGGGCGGGTCCGTTGGTCGAAAGAAAATTTTGGATCTACTGGATTTGACGCCGCAGGGGCCGGTTCGTCCGGATAGGATACTTGGTGTAAAGTGGCAGAGCGTTGGTGACTTGTTGCAGGGCGGCGTAGTGAAGGCATCTGAGAGCGAGAGCCACGCCTGGAAAGGCTGGCGGGAGCGGCGTCCTGGCCGGCCGTTGCGCGTTTTACCAGTTTGTTCCTTGACTGTTGCTGTTGTGGGTGTGCTGAGGATTGCTGTGAAAGAATGGGGGCTGCGGAACTCAGAGAAAAATTAACGGAGAGGGAGTCGGGTCCAACGCTGGATCGTGGACTTCCGTGTTGAGAAAGAGGTCGTATGGATAAACGCCTAATCCAGGACCCGTTTGAAGAAATCGAGTCTCGCGAGACCTCGGAAATTGGAGGTGGAATCCAGTCACCTCTGTGAACGAGAGAATGGCGCCGGTTCCAACCGCTCTGGGACGAGGATGCGGTTGAACGTGGGAGTGTGGCCGTGGAAGAAGGAGCGACGGATACTTCTGATGGAGCTATTTGTGACGGGCGCGTCGAGATAGAAGAACTGGTATTACTGCTGCCATTGCTAACGTTGCGAACCCGATCGTCAGTAGCCACTGCTGCAGAAGGTGCCGAGGCAAAACTAGCTGACTTTGCCATGGGCCGAGATGTCGCGGGTCGAGTCGCAGAAGGAGGAGTGGCGGAAGAGGAGGAGGAGTGGTCTCGGTCGAGAGTGTTGACGTTTGGTCGAGCAGACATCGGTCGATAGAAATCTGGCTCATTGGCAGGCTGTGCAAAAACAAGTCCGGTGGCAGCGGCCGCGACCGCGGTGCCGGTTCCCACGAGCTGGGCGAGGTTAGCTTCAAAATGTGACTATATAATAAAGGTATAAACAAAGGCAGCATCCGTGTCCCATCACAAAACGGGGTCATGAATTTTGCTGCACCATTCAGTCGCGTTGATGAAAAGATGATGTCGGTATGGGGAAGCCCGCCCGGTATCTCGAGATGGAGCATCTTCTGGGAGATGGAAAGCAGAGGTCACATCTAAGCCAGCCAAAACCCAGTTCGACAGATATCCAGGATACGTTTTTCTCGTGACAAAGCAGTTGCCGCAAACACTTACACTTGGCACTGCCTGCATCTTGACAGCTCCCCGCGACTACGCGCACGAGGAAGACCGGCGGACGCAACGGCCCTGTAAGGCGGTGCTCGGAAAGAGGAGGTAAACACTCGTTTGTGAGATCGTCGTTTGCATCGTCATGACATTGCGAGTTCGTAACAAGAAGGAAAGGAGAAACGAAGAATCAGCCGGGTCGTTAAGCGTCGTAGATCGTATCGTAGTCGGCCTTCGAGTTGGACAAGGTCAATGCCAGTCAGGAACGCGGATAGAAAAAGAAGGGACGTGTACAAAGACGAAAGTCGAGAGGTAAAAAAAAAAGCCAACACAGGTTGTCGGCCACTCGCGTGTGTTCCTCGCCCAGGTTCCAAGACCAGTGGAGGCAACGAGCACAATGTTGACTGGCCAAAATAGTCAGTGGAAAGCTACCACCATCAATCAAGAACAAACGACAACGGGATAGGAGAAGGGAAAAGACGGGAAAGAGGAGAAAGGAAATGCAGAAACGTGGAGACGACGACACAGAACGCAAGGAGCAGGACGAGAGGGTAAAAAAACTGGATGCAGAGGGACGGACGGACTGGACTTGGCCGGGCCAGAAACGAGAAACGCGCCTGTCTCTTTTTGGGGCACAGGGAACTGGCGAGAGATTGACACGAGACCGAGCAATACCATTCCAGCGCGGATCAGTCGTGGATGGAATTGGGGGTTTGTGCTTACAGCTAGTGAGTTTTGGCTTGGTCCTAAGCAATGTCGACAGGCCTGGCTGTGACCAAGGAACAGCAATCTCCTTTGTTAGACAGCAGGAAAGAAGAAAGCAAAAGAGACCAATGCGTTGCAAACGGCGTTGTGGAAAGCCCTCGGTCCTTCCCTGCTTGGTCTCCTTCGGAGGGACGGGGTCGTTTCGGCAACGCGTTGGCGTTGTGTCCCAGGGCCAGCAATTGGGCAAGGGCAAAAGCGCGATGTCTGTTTCGGTGGGCGCGACGGGCTTGGATTTTTGGCGAAAGGTGGACTGGGGTGGGTTGGAAGCAGGAGGGCGTGTGTGTGAGTGGACAGGGCCAGACAGGGTGTGGGCGGGAGGGTGTGTGAGGAACGGAGATGGCGAAAGACTGGCAGGATTGTTGACATTAAATTGGCATTTAGTGCAGAGCTGGTGCTGTTGTTGCTGCCACAAGTGCCAGACCAAGGTGAGGAGCTGCGTCGAAAGGCGAGACTGTGGGACTGCACAACCTTCTCAAGACGAGAGAAGAAAGAGAAGTGACAAACACGAAGCAAAGACAGCAAAGACACAGAAAGAAACCAAATGTCACCAAATGGGCTGCAGAGGAAAGGAGAAGCGAAGGAACGTGGGGTCCTGGGAGCAAAAGAATATAAAAAAAGAAACTTCCACGGTGTGTTTGAGAAGGGGCCATGAGCCACTGGCGAGCGCTGCTGACACCGTGGGCGGAGAGAAAGGAATTGATTGCGGGAGAAGACAGGGTGGAAGGAGAAGCGATGAGGGCGAGGAAGTGCAACGAGGGACAGACAAGATGGGATGAGGTGGACAGGCCGATGTGTATCCTGAACAAGAAGGAGCCGCCAGGTCCTGGAGGTCCTTTTGTACGCTCGAGACGTGCTCGCACCAAATGGAAGCAGCGACTGACAGCAAGATCAGAGGTAGGCGCGCATCACCAGAACTGGACAGCGCCTTCCTAGGCAGTCGTCTGCAGCCTCGAATGGCAGGAGCTCACCTTCTACAACCCAATCCCATTCGCATGCCAGAATATCTCCTTTTCGGCAGTTTTCTGGGCTTCATTTAATCCTCTATTTGAATTGACGGTCACCTTTCTCCCTTGCTGCTCAATTCCTCTCCTCCCCCTTGTCGTGCAGCCGTTCATTTCAGAAGGCAGCACAGCGGGCCCTGCCTGCGACCTGCAGCCCGCATCCTACATGCTGCAGCCTCTCATATATTTTCTCGCTTTTTTTTTATGCGTCAACATCTTGAATCGCAACACAGCAAGCGGAGCTTTGACAGAGCGTTGGTAGCAAAGCGGGCCAGTGAAAAGGCGCCCACCACGGCAAACGAACGTCCCACTGACACGCTGATGTCGCAGGTCACCCACTCAAGACAGGCTGGCTGCTTCTAGGCGCGTCCACCCCAGCATTGTCCAGTGCAGACCAATCCTTTTCGTGCATCAAATTGCGGCGAGTGGGCTCCCATTTCCCTCTGCAGATCGATCTTCAAGGGGATCGGGAAGACCAAGCAGGCAGAGCGGGCCCTGATACGGGTCTCGCAGGCACAACGAAACTACTCTACACTCCAGTCCTACACTAGAAGGGTGGTTGAGCACTCCAAACTTCTTTGCTATCCGTCATTTCATTTCTGCATGACCTAATTACTGTATGCACATGCATGGCGCCCCGTATCAGGGCGTTCTATGTCAATTTTTTTTAAAGTTGTCGAAATTGGCGGCAGGCTGACAAGAGCGAATAGGAATGAAAGCAAAAATGAAAGCGCAGACAAGAAGAAGAAGAGAAAACACAAAAGGAGAATCGGGAACGCAACTTCAAAATTAGTGCATACACGAGCAGTCTCGTCCCGGCACCAGTCCCTGCAATTTATGTCAGGCAAAGCGATGGCAACGCCGGCTCGTGGATCAGAAGTGTTAGCGACATAGGCCTCACCGGCTTGCATGGGGTCTAGACACGAGGGATGGTGTGCCAAATGTCACAACTGTCTGACGTCTGGGATACGGAAATAGGCAACGGCGTACCTTCGACGCATCGCATTGAATGCATCACAGGCGGGCACTCTGTTGAGCAGCAGGACCAGCAATGGCCTGCCGCGTTTCGAGATGAACACCTCTGCTATTATTTTCGTCGAGGGTTTACTTCATACTCTACTCGTCTAGTTCACCTCTGTGCTAGAGACAACACGGATAACAACAACAGGAACAGGAACAGGAACAGTCGGGCCCTGACCTGGCTTCCAGGCACGATGGGAAAGAAGAAACAAGGTCTTTTCGCAGGCCAGTCACATGCACTCGAATCCCAAAGTATCACCGCACGAAACATGCTCTGTTGACTTGGCGAGCAGGCTTCGATGCAAGGGCCGTGGTCCTGACCCAGGTGAGGACAGGGTGAGTCTCGCGCGGTGGACTTTTGCAGCCGTCCATGTGCTTTTTGTTCTATTCACTCGGCATCCTACGGCCCCAAAGCCAATACAGGCTATCCGCACAGCGCTCGCGGTTTATTTCGCACACGAAATCAGATGTTTCTCGCAGCACTTTGTCTGTCCCGTGCATTGTGAGCCAGTCAGAAAGACGCATTGATCATTCTGATATAGACTGCCACGCCGGACTAAGTACGCGTCCCAGTCTTGACCTCTTCCTTTAGTGCGACCTTCCCCTATTCGGCTGACGAGGCACGAGAGAGGCGCCTACACGAGCCAAGGAATATGGCTGATACATAGCCGTACCAAACACGGAAGCTCCACGGGAAACAAATTATTTGCCGTCTGCCTCAGTCTCTTTTCGTGGTACTTCTGTGCAACGGATGTCCGTCCACCTCTGTGCTCGTGACGGGTAGACGAGCTAAAATTGGCGGCAGTTTCGGGGAAGAAAAGATCATGAAACAAGGCAGAAAGCAGAAACGTCTTTGATTTTCAAGACGTGTTGAATTGATATATCCTTTGCTAACACCCAATACTGCAAGAATAGGGCACCTTAGAACATGACCTAAAGACCCCGGTATACCACACTCTCGCAGTACCTCATGTTTGCTTCTGCCGATCTTATGCACCTCAGCCCGGAATTCTCTGCCATACAGGGCATTCACATCTTTCATTACCGAATGGAGACTACTACGGAATCATTACGACCCTGCGGGACGATATTTTTGTACGTTGCAAAACAATGACAGTCAACTCTACATAGTACGATAGTACATCGTACCTCTTAATCACGTCGTACTCTGCACTGAAGATCAACACTGTCGCATGCGCCAGGTGGTAGTGTAAAAACGGCCCCTTTTTCTAGTAGAAAATGGTATGCCTCCTCTTTTCCCCAGAATATCTACGACTCTAGGCCCTGTCTTGCGTTATTCGTGTCGACCTTACCCATGGAACGCAGAACTACCCTTGACAAACGCGAATAATCGGGTGCCCAGGGGCGCGACTTCACACAAAAAGTGGCAGATAGGGTACCATCCGACTTGACGCCAACCATCCTTCGAAACATGGATGAGTCGAATTTTTCCGGTCAAAATCGGGTCCACATGCGTCGTCATATGAGCGAAGAGTACGTTGTATGTCGTGTGAAGTACTTTCAAAGCGAAACGACAGAAACCAATTCTGTCACGAGACCTCATCACTCATGCCGCCCTTTTCGTGGCCTTGACAAGAAGACCACTTGCCACAATAAGACAAAAGAAAACACACAAACAACAAACAAACAAACAAACAAACCGCAAATGCTTCCACAATGTCAACTGTCCAACGGCCTGATAAAGCGGCCAAGACATGCGGCCAGTGAAAGTGGCCGCATCACAAAGCCCTAAACGGCAACCACCCAGGATCCTGGTTACGCAGGTTGTGTGGAGGACGAAGACTAAGATACACCAATCCAGAACCGGTGGTCCGTCCCTACATCATACAAACATGA